GTTTGCCAGCTTCTTTAAGGAACTTGACTTGCAGAGGATGGCGCCTCACTGTAGAAAATGCCACTTGACCAGAGTATGTGGCAGTGACTGCGGACGTCTGGGCAGTTTGAACAACGAAATTTACACAAGCAAGTATTATACCAATAATAATTCCAGTCACAAAGTCCCACGCCCCCATCGTCATGACGATGATCACCACCTATTGGAGGAAAATTAGCATAGCTTCTAGAAGATGTGAGAATGGGGGTAAAAAATTGTGGCGGGGGTTGAGAGTCCTACTGTAATATATTCCAACTCGTGTAGTTTTCCCCATGTGTCCACAAGAGCTTCTTCCAGCAGTTCTATACCAAGCATGTAGATAAGGGCACCAACGACCATTATTGGGAAATAACCAATTATACCAGGGCCCACCAGCATGATGCCAAAAGTGGCACACGTTAGCATTATCCCTGCCAAACGGCTGTTGCCTCCACTGCCAATGAAGAGCAAACTATTTGTGTATACCAGGTAATTCTATATTTAATTATTAAATTAGCGATACCTCACAGTGTATCGAAATTTACCCTTTTAACTTACCTGAACACCACCAAGAAAACCTGACATGGCATTTGAAACACCATGTGCCAGGAGTTCTCTGTCGACGTTCAAGTTGTCTTCGCCAGTTGAGATTCCCAGAGCAGGGACGTTGATAGGCACATGCAGGACACCAAAAAATGTCAGTGCGAACATTGCAGGAATTGTCTCGGCAAGCGCCGGCCAATCGACAACGGAGAAATCTGGAAATCATTAGCAACCTTTGCTATAATTGTGCTTGGGGATAGAAGAAAAGTTCACCATATAATGTGTAAAAGTGATACCAAGGCACTGATGAGGATGGAGCCTCAAAAACCCAGCCCCGATTCCTTAAAGTCTCCAGTGGGATACGCAAAGCGAACTTAAAAATGTAGAATATAACGCCAACGGCAATGAAATAGCCGCCAACAAGGAAATTTGATTTAATGAATCGTTTTATCACAAGCAAGCCAATAGCAATGACCAGAGGTAGGGTCCAGAGGAAAATTGTGTCGAGTTGAACAAGTTTGTGTAGAGTGTCCAGGTTATATTCGAGACTCCCAGATAAACGGGCAGATACCTCAACACCAGTAGCAAGAAGAAACCAGCCAACACCGCCAATGCATCCGATTAATATGTGACGAGGAAAGAACCCTGTCAGCGAACCCAGCTTGAATGCTCCCATAATGAAGAAGACAGAGCCCGTCAGGACGGAGCTGATAGCAAAAGATAGTATGGTGGTAGCGAGTACCGCTTTTTCGTTCTGCTCTCCTACCCTGTTGAGGATCATAAAAGCCATTTTATGGAAGAATGGAACCACTTCGATCATTTCAGACCCAACACCTCCTCTGAAAATTGAGCCTCCACATGAGTACACGAGCTGAGCAACAATCGTACTAACATAAAACATGGAGGTACCGTCGGGGGCCAGGCGTGCGAATACCGGCTCACCCAGAGGGAAAAGAATCATCCCGTAGGAAAGGGCATCTAGTATATTGAGTAGAAGGCCCAGAAAGACGGAAGGAAGAAGGCTAGTGGGATAAACTATTCCCTTTCGCCAGATTGTCCGCCTATTACAGACCTTGCGGTTGCAATGATGGCTGCATAAATTGCGTCCCTTTGTGCATACGGCGCGGAATTTACTGAAAGACCCAGTTCTAGTGGTTTGATTCTCAACATCAACTGAAGACGTGCCATAACTCTGATTCCTTGTCCGAAATGCCCTTTGAATTAGGGGTGTTCGTTCTGTGTCTTGCACTTCTGAGCCACGAGAAATGATGAGATTTGAGTGGGCATAGTCTTCCGGAAAGAGTTCTTCGTTCGATTCACTGCCATCATCACTTGGTGTGGAACTCCGGATCATCTTTGTAAGAGACAAAGTGCCGCATTTTGGAAGGGGATGAGAATATTTTCTTTGGAAATGCGGTTCTGATGGTTCTGGAATCTGTCCTAGGTCCTGGCTCTGGACGTCCCGAGACTGGTCTATATTACGTTGGCCATCAATGAAAATTCCTGACCGATTAGGTACGCTCATTTGCGGATCCGAGAGAGAAGAGCCGTGACGACCTGATTCTCCATCAAATAACGCCAGGGATGCCAATTCTGCAGTGTCTTCGCGGACCCCACGGGACGAGTATTGTGCCGCATCTATCGCGAAAACCATATATCTTAGTATGATGACTTAGATAACAATTATCAGGAGCAAGGAGGGGAAGTGCACCTAGAGGCCCTTGGAAAGTCCGATGATAGAACGATCTAACCGGTGTCCTCTCGGTGTGAGAAGTGGAGTACGGAATAGGCGGAGGGGAGCCGATCTCTTCAGAATGGCTAGATTGAGATCCATGCCAGGAATTGCTGGCAGAAGTAACTGTGGCTTCATTTCCTTCGACAATCTGTGGTTCCCTTAGGCGTTCTTGGACCTCGCGTAGGTGTGATTGGGTTGAGTCGTGGGAAGTTCTCCGCCGCGTGTCCCCTCCACCAGAAACCATGTTGCCGTGTCACTCTGCCGGGAGTTTCTGCAACGTATAAAGACCAACCGGAAGCCGTACTTTTAGTCTATGACAGGCCTCTGATCGCTACCTACGGGCATAAGCTGTCCGGAATACATTCAGATGGACGGAAAACGATTCCAGTTAGTCAGCTGAGAACCACAAGGTCGCAAATTGTATTGTATTAAAGTGATCGTGTGAACTCAAGGGACCATCCATAAACCAATTCCCTGTTGGATAAGAGGATCATTTATCATCATAGCTGACAAAAGATTGAAATGAAGCCTGATCAGATAAGGTGAAATACTAGAAATTCTGCGATGCCACAAAGTTGGGAAAAACCGAAAAATGGGGTAAAAAGCATAAATTATAGAGCTCTAGGTCGAATTTTGTCCTGCCAAATTAAAATTCTATTTTCCTTCCATCTGAATTTCTGGCAGTTAGTTACGTGGTAAGCATAGCGCTAAGTTGGTTAGCACGCTAGAGAATTCGAAAATGTTAAGTCGGCTAGGCACTACCCAACATGCAATAATTCAAGCTGCAAGGACCCCCCGTCATAGGAACAAAAAAAAAAAAAAAAAAGGAACGTAGATCTGAAGGGAGTCCGCCTGGATGGCTAAAACTGGGGTGCTGCTATGCATATGGCATCACTAAATCATACCCTCTTGTCAGGGTTGAGATATGATCTCTGAAATGGGCCTGCACAAACTCAATTGGTATGTAATTCAAAAAATCTTTTGATTTTGAAAATGTCTATGTTGGTGGAGTAGGGTTTGGCCCATTTTATTGGTTTTGATACATCAAGTCATCCAATGATATTTTGACTTAAGCTAGTATGATTTTACGACATACAATTACGCTGGTTATCAACTCAAAAAGCTTTTGTCACCTACTGCTAGTTCCCTCTGTTGTTCTTTTAAATTTACATAAAATCCGGTATGTCAAATCACTTCTATAAATTATAATTAAATTTTTGCATATGAACCATACTGGGAAAACAGATAAGGTAAGGTCTAATTCGAACAGAAATAGGTGTTGATTTCAGTCTCAATTTCACTTTCAACAACCTATCACCTTATCTGCTATTTCAGACGTCTCATTGGCAAATTAATTGAAAGCATTTTCAATTAAGTGCACAGCATTTATTTAGAGGAAAATATTTTCAAGCTTCAGGACTGCAGAGACATTTTCTCCTGAAGGTTGCCAATCATTTAAGCCAATCTCCACACGATATCTAAATAAGGTTGTTAGCTTATATTGTCGAACCAATCAAAGCAATGGCGGAACTAAGCTTAAACCATGCTGCACGTCAGAGCCTCTGAAGTGTTAAATTGTGTAACCTATTTCACGGTGAACTTACATGCAAGGGACCTCACCCATCTCATGATATCAAACTATATTTACAAGTATTGACTGCTTGCTTCATCATACAGACTACCAGTCCTAGACATCAACATAGAGGTGCAAGTCCTGTCTAAATGTTTGTTACACATGTGTGTTCATGAATAGAATTCACTGCACATGAGCAATATCTTCAAAAATTAATAAATAATAAGTAATATAATATAATAATAATAGAAATAATAATAACAATAATAACAACAATAATTAATGAAACAGATGTCTTTTTATTCATACAGACAGCAATATAATCATGTAGAGTTGTATGAGGAACATTACATAGACAAGCAGCCTTAGCATAGTCAATCCCTGATTTGAATAGCAGAAGCTGCTTAAAAAAAAAAAAACCTAATTTGAACTCTTCATATTCAAATATCAAGCTGTATGATGTTATAACTGAGGTTAAAACTGAGAACTTTTAACTGGTGATTGATAAACTAGAACATATCACATGGACGACGTGGGCGAGGTCACCGGGCAAGCGAGTTCACCGTGAAATACATTAACACAAGTTGCTGATATTGTTAAACTATCAATGTCAATTACTGATGGTTGAGAGAGATACGATAATAATTCTCTACTTATTGTTGCTCCTCTTCTTCATTGGCCTCTACTCCGAGGAAGTCGTGCTGGGACATCGCATTCAAGTTTTCTGGTTCCTGAATGCACATGCGAACCTGGTTTCTGCTAAAGGAAAAGGAAGCGAGCTCAGATTTCTAATGCCCATTATATGACGAAAGGGGAGATGCTTTTGTTGCGAAATCGCATCCGTCAGAGCAAGCTCGGTTTTAGCATGATAATCAGGCGACCGGGGTGGTGTAAAGGTCGAATAAGAATCGTACGCAGGAGACAGCTATATTTTCTTCCGAGCTTAAGATCAGATCAGCTTCTTCTTACAATGGTAACTATAAAATAATAGAAACGGTAATCGCTCAGGCCCGACTTGATTTTTTTGGGGATACACCTGAAGGCTAAGAAGGGCTAGAACTGGACTTAGGTCCATGCTAACTTACGCAGTAAGTGCCGAATTCAACAGCTTTGTACTCGATAACATCTTATTCACCTCGTTTTCGAAGCGTATGTTAACCGTGCAATAGGGTCAGAGTCATCCCAAGTACATATAGAATATAATTTATGACTATTGCTATCGTGCAATGATGAATTGAATATGCCACATTTGGACCGTCGTACCATAGATAGCCAGAGTGATTTGATGTAACTGAGAGTTGTCCCATCTCCTGCAGCTTTCATTAGGTCCTTTCTCACTAATCGAACCAAGATAATATGGACCTTCAGTTCGCCAGTTGGCTCGTTGTCAGTTTTAAGAAGCTTTTCGTTATACATCAGTGCGTTTCGCCATCTGGCTGTACATTTCTCGTACCGGTGATGGGAATGAGGTTGGTGGTGTTGTTTATCTGATGCCTCGTGGAATTTTGTCTTTTCCCCATCGACAAAACAAAACCCATGATCCGATTTGGAGAGTTGCCTACAGGGAGCAAAGGAAACAATGCCGCAATGCCGTTGGAACAAGTTATGTTGTCCCTTCGCCCGGGGTTTACTTGCAAATGCCCATGGTGTCAAGGTAACAATGGCCATCAAAGCATTATTTGTCGGGAGATGTTGCTTTGATCGTTCGCTTTGCCTCTTGCTCAGTGATGAAACTGGAGCAGGGTTCTACTTGGATGTGCATTCTTGGGCCAGTATGTTAGCTCAGTCGCTGCAGATAGCCCTGCGCAATGAGCCGCTCAACATCGCCCAAGCGGACATAGAATTGACTGTTCTTCGTCAACGTAATAGCCCTATTCGAGAAGGACGAAGTGTTAGCAGAGCGAAAATAGCCATTAAATAAGGGACATGAATGAATATGGCAGTATAGGATAATAGACAAATATCACTACCAAGGGTTGGCAGCAGGGCAATAGAATAAAATCAAATGGGATTGGGATACGAACCCATATTCCGTCTGAATCTCCCCAGCATCCTTCAGCACGCGCACATCAATAAACAGGTCCTTTGGCGGTTTTAAGCTACCCGTCAAGTCAATGTCGATCCAATGTCCTTTATACGCCGCCAGCATATCACTATACTGGCGAAAGTACTCCATTTCCTCTGGACTGAGGGAATTTGCAGCATGGCCACCACCGCCCTGAGAAACCGGATCACTCCCCTGCATCTGCTGCTCGTCCAGCACGTCACGGCCCTGCCAGCACATTTCCTCCAGTTTCTCGGCACGCGCCCGGTGGTAAGCCAGCAGGCATCTTTTGTTGCGTCGCATGGATAGATGGTCCACAAGCAAGGCGCAGGCGGTCGCGTGGTTCTCCGAAGGGTTGAATGTGCCCTCGAATGGCTCTAGGATACGTGCCACGTCCTTGTCCAACTCGCGAACTTCGCGTGCCACTGAACGCACCATTTCTGTCTGATATGGCGGCAGTTGGGAGAGGGATTGCACGCGTTTTGCATGTTGGACCTGATTGCCATTGAGTTTGGTTGAATTAGCGCACGGAATGCCCCCCATCCCCCTTTTTATCTTCTTCTTCTTTTTTTTTTTCCCCGAAACTTTTGCAGGTTACGGGGATTTGTGCAATTTGTCAAATACAACGGTCCGCTTACCAGCTTGATGCCCAGGTCTCCGTACATGGTGGTAGATTTGATATATGTGGGGTCGCCACAGGACTTCGGAGCGATGATGTCCAGGATAATGGGACTTATGCAGCTGGTGGGTCAGCTTCTGCAAGAATTGCCTATAATCGTTCTGATCCTCTACGGAACCAAATCTGCAATCTGCAGTCTGGATCTTTGGATGGATTAGGGATGAGGTTTGGTTGCCAAGACCAACAACGTGCCTGCCCACAAGCACAGCCGCCACACAAAGGGAAGTTTCTCTTTCTTTGCCTGGCCGAATCAAGTCTCAACTCAAAAGAGTTCTTTATGTCTTCTTTTGTTCTTCTTATAACATTGTCACATTCATCATGAAAACATTTCATTTATCATTGTCTTGCTCTATGTTTCTAATTTAGCTTCACTTCTGCAGCATGTCTTTCAACATATGATGCAAGTTTCACTCTTGACTATTCTTTTCTGGGGGCATGAATCACTAGGTCTGTGACAAACAGCAACTCTTCCCTGGCATTGCATCATGACAAGGGAAGTATTTCTCACTTCAGTCAGGGTGCTATAATTAGAAGTTGCTGTCTTCTCATTTGAATTCACTATTGACTAACGAGAGATGATCTCATTATAGAGGTTACTTGTCATGAAAGCTTTCCCTTTATCTCAATGAACGGTTGATTTTTGAGTCAGCGGAGTTGGGGGTAACAAACTTGAGTCATCAAATATTAGAATGAACTTGTAATATTCAATTACTAACTACTCGCATACAGAACAGTACATGCATGAAAAGCAAGATACTGAGAAAGCCAGCACTCTGACCAAATTGTTGTTCAACAATCTGTCAATGATTAAGAAAAAGGGCCTCGGTAATGGAGTCGAGAGAAATTTGCAGAAGTGATGTAAACACACAACCCACCCAGTAAACAGCGGACTACACAGTTTGGAAAATTATCATGCGCCAGAAACCAAGCTTAAATCCCATTTAGAAAAGGAAGAGGAACGCATGACACACCTTTCCACTCAGGGATAAGAGTAACGGATCAAAACCCATTAAGAAAGCAACAAGTTCAATCTCTTCAACGCTGGTTAAGTTCTCCACAGAATTGGCAGGCAATTTTGAAGATAGCCAAACCGATATTGGTGCCTCGAAGAAAGATAACGACAAACTGCAATAAACAAATACACTTGTAGAATGGAAAGAAGACAAGATTAGGGGTGGGGGAAACATCTTTACTAACATTACCTTAAATACAAAAGAACAGGAGAGAAGTAATTTCACAGATGTTTCTGCTGGCCATTACCGCCGCACTCAAATGAAGCCCCAGAACCAATCCAGTCTTCGAATTGACTCCCAGTCTCAACCTGGATTTCATTCCACATGTCACGACCATCCATGCTTTGTTGCATGCTAGGATGGAAGGCGTATTGCTGCTGATATCGTTCATCTTTTTGACTGGAAAGGCTAGGGCTAACATGCTGTTGCTGTCCATTGGGCATGTGCCACATATCCAACTGGACATGGTAGCTAGCTCCGTCGTTATATGGTAGACCATGTTGGCTTTCAAATTCCATAAGCTGTGGGTCGACTTGCATGTCGTTGAGGGAGGCAGGAGATCCTGTTTGTGGAAGCAGTTGCTGTTGGAGCAGGTCAGAATGTGCATTACCAGGAAGGCCAGCCAAAGCTCCCTGTCCGTCATATGGTATGCCTGGAACACCCATCTTCTTGAAGGTCACGTCTTCAATATTGGGGCCTAGCATGCTTTGGTGGATAGATGGCTGATAATAATGGGTCTGCTCTGGAGGCGATATCATGCCGGGAAGAGGTCTGCCAGGGTTTGACATCTCCCATGATGATCTGTTCACGTCACTGTTGGCATACATATCCCCATTTCGCTCGAATGGTGTTCCCTGACGGCTGTCGTACGAGCTATCTCGGTCCAAAGGGGTGGGAGTGCGGCTTTGGAAGCTACTACCATGAAACGAACCCCCGGACATATGCTTCCCGGTTTTCGGGTATGATCCCATGCCGAAGCCTTGGTCATTGATGTCGCTATTGTCTTCTTCTTTCAACGAAGAAATGTTTCGCTTCTTCCGAGTGTTTGTCCTTTTGTTTGGTGCGAACTTGTAAGTCGGGTGGGCTTTATCGTGGTTCTCTCTATCGATGATGGCTAGCCGCTCATAGTATTCTCTGATTTCCTTTGGTTCCAGAGACCAGCTAGAGCCAGATATTTGCGAGACAACTTGATGGTTGTTCTGGCAGATCCACCCCTTTGTTCTTTCCGCATATGCTGCGCGATACAGGATAAATGAATTCATCGGTCGGGAAACTTTACCCTTTTTATTCTCAACCTCCTTTCGACGTTGTTCTGAGGATCGCATTACATGCGCTTCCATATCTCGCACCGGAATTTTCATATCTCTGGTCAGTTCGCTCAGGGGACGATCAACGACGTGATCGTGATTATTGAGAAGCTTGGAAACTCGCTTCTTTTTTGCCGCCTTCCTCACCGCAGGCTTGTTCACACCACCAGGGATAAGAGGTGAATCGCCTCTGGTACGAGGGCAGAGGGTTATTTCGGGTGTATGTAGAGCAGCCTGTGGTACGACGATCAGCTTTCGAACAACTTTGGTGTTGGCTTTGCTGGCCCAACCTACCTTTTGCGGGGAAACACCCTCAACACCGTTTCCATATGGACTCAAAAGCGAATAGTCACCCTAACGGATTGTTAGACTATGGATTGATTCCTGATCGCAGCCAAAGACATTCAGTTACTTACAGCAATTATGGGTTGCCCATCAGGGTCCATCTCAACATGACTATTCTGCAGAGCCTGGGGCTCTGTTATTTGCATATACATGGTTTCAACTGGTAGTTTGTTGAGGTAGGGTGATCTAGCAGTATGTATTGAGCAATCGTTAAAACTGCTGGTTAGTTCTCCGTCTATAGACAGTGGAGGCGACGGCAGATGGGTATTTAACATATCTCACTCGGAGTCGTTTTGCTGGTTGAAAGAGGTAGTAAGTTGCCGTTTCGGTTTTCACAGACCGCCGACAGTGTTGTAGACCACTCTGTCCTAACAATTGAGTGGTTAAACAAACTAGGGAGACTTCCCCTGAGGCACAGAGCAAAAGAGGAGAAGCAATGTGCGGAGATGGGTAGGGTATAAGGGTTGGGGTCAAGAGAACTTCCTATCTTGGTTCCTTGCAGCTGGTATGAGGAGAGTTTTATGTATTCCGGTTGGGTGAAGCTAGGTGATGCTTTCACATTCCTCAAGAGCTCAAGCTTCCTGAGGTTTCAAGCGAACCGTTACACCACTATAGGGATCGAGAATATGATTCCGTCTTGATTAGGGAACGAGCCGACCCGGTCACTAACTCCTGGTTCCTGGAGTGACGTGACCAGATTATTTTTGGTTCTCAAGGAGGCGCAAGGGGGTTGATTGGCAAGAAGGGAGGCGAGAAACTGTGCGGCTAATTGCGACAGAAATTTGGTCCGGATGCGGAAGAGGCCGGGGTAAGGGGTTGGTAAAGCGGAGTACAATAAGGTAGCTGTTTTCCTGAACGGCAGCCTTGGGTCTTTCGGGTGGTTTCCTTTTGTTGTTGTTTGAGGAAAGGCAGATTATATGGTGGTAAAGGAAAGTTGGCTCTGATCTTATTCTTATGGTGCTCTCTTTTTCTTGCCCACTTTTTATGCTCTTGCTACCGATGCAAAGAGCAAATATTGAAAAGAGAAGAGCTTGGGAAGAAAACGCTGGAGCTTGCAAGCTTCAGGCCGCCTATGGATGAACTGTTGCAATCACCCGCTCTTGGGTGGGACAGCTTATCCCAATATCTTATTAGCGTCTGGGAAGGCAGTGGCCAGAAACATGCAGCTGGTCAGGAAGCTGATCTAAAGAGGTTTAGCCATAAGAACCTTGTCATATGAGGAGGGGAAACAACTAAGGTCCTCCTAGTGTGTGCATGGACTGGTTGGGGGTTCAGGAAGGGGGAGCGTTTCCCAGGGCAATTCTTTGTTTTGAAGGGGGCCAGGAGCGGGGGCTGGGGAGGGAGAGCATCTTTGTACTCACATACGGAAGCAGCAGAGGGGTTTCTGTTGCTGAAGACGAGACGAGTGAGGGATACTGAAATAGCTCCCTTTGTGTCTATTCGGTTGTTTTGGTTATGTTTTGTGATTGTGTTGTTTCTCGCGGTTTCACATTGAAGTTGCACTTCAATTTGGTTAGGAGCGAGTTTTGGTAGCAAGATGGAGTAGTGCTTGGTGCAGGAATGTTGAAAGGTGAATGCATAACAATTTATAGAGGGAATGAGGAGTAGGATAGGATTGGAGTATGAAGAGGGGTCTTCAGTGATATTTGTATTTTGGGATTAGGATTCTAAAAGCAATATCCCAGGGATATAAACCGTGTATGTATGGCTGGCTGCCGGGCTGTGATACTTACTTGGCTACTAGTCCGGAGGGAGAGATGCAGAGGAGCTTCGATAAGAGAAAATAGATCGACAAGAGCTGCTTGGCTTACACATTGATTCGCATTACAGTGCAGAAGAAGGGTGTTGGGCCAACAGGGCCCATATTCCTATTTTATCCTGTGCCCTCGCTCCGCTCTATACCAAATAACAGACTTCGGCCCATGCCAACCGCGGCGGCAGGGCCAGCAGAATGCAGAATAGGCGAGCCATAACTCAGACAATATTTTTATTTTTATTTTAAATTCTGCGGGGTGGTGGGGAGATAGTGGGAAAGGTCCCATATGTGGGTGAGGAGTAAGATGGCAACTGACAGCACGCAGCAGCAGCGGCAGGAGAGAAATGTTGCTACTATTATTGCGGTTAGCTATTAGTTCAGAAAGGCTGTTCGGCGCTGAAGCCACGCCCGTAAGCTTTCCGGCGGGGGCTTATCACCAACAGATGTTGGCGGCAGCGGCAGGGATGCTGGGACTCAAAACTATGGTTCACAAATGATGGCGGTCCAAGATTCCCTCTTCTCCCCCCCCCCCCCCCCGGTCCCTTGCTACCCCGTTTCGCAGTACAGTCGCAAACAGCGAAAAGGACACAGGCAGGGAAAGTCTGAAAATAAAATATACATCAAATAACGTAAAAAGACTTCTGGGCTTTCTTAGGCTACTGTATTGGGCGATCGCCTTGTGGCTGGTCTAGGGTAAACTTCCCCGAGATAGCCTTTTAATCCAGATCATTGATGCCAACGGCAATGGTATATTTTCGAGCTTTTGGTCCCTCTCTTCGTTGCCTTTTCCTCTTCCTGACATGGGTCTTCTCCTCGCGTTTACAGGGATAATATCTATTGACTAATAGCAGCATAACCCTTGATAACCTTGTATCACGATATTATGATTTTTGCAAGACGGATATCGAGGCTTGCGAAGACCGTAAGGCACATCAGTTACCGTACTAACAAAAGGGATGGCTCGAGAGGTGAGTTGTAATCAGATTAACCAGATTCCACTCCTCCGTATCGGCACACGAGCCAGGGCAATGTATCATTGCCGTATGGATTGGTGGTTATCTCTGGTGAGTGATCAAATCGTCACGGCGTTTTTCAATAATCAGGCTTTTTTTTTTTTTTTTTTATTCTTTCCTTTTTCTTTCTTTCTTTCTTTTTTCTTTCTTTCTTTCTTTCTTCTTTCTTTTTTTTTTTTTTTCCCCCGGCACAGTGAAGTGAATTATAAATGGTTTCCAGTCTGTCGGGACCTGCAGAAGCCAGTCGAATTACTGTTCTGGCCCAAACTTTGGATTTTAGGTGGCATGGACAGATTTCTTTCCCATGTCATATATTTTTCTTCTGATGCTGATGGAAAATCAATCACATCCGTTAATTTAGAGGATAGAAGCGGGATGTAATCACCTCAGTTGTTTCCCACTGTAGAAAGTTATTAATAGAGCGGCAAGATAGATGGCGACATACCTGAATGGTCTCGGGAACTGCTTTAGGTGGCACAGACAAGTCGCATGCAGAGATAAGACATAAGGCGGATTCTTGATCACTGATCATTGGTATCAACGGTGAAAATTGCCAACCAGACAAGAGAAATTAGAGAGCAGAAGAATGAACCAATAATAATAAAGCTTCTATGGAAGTCTAACCTTCGAAGGTTAAGTACCGTGTAAGTAGCGTGGATATCAGATATTCTATGGCGACTAAATGTCCAGCCCCAAATTGAACCTAAAGATACTTGCGGGGTTCAATTTACGATTTGTGCGGTTTCCACAATCCCAACGTTTAACAATTGAAGACAAGTTGTATTGTATCATGTTAGCTTTAAAACTGGGACGTTCCTGAGACCTCCCTGGGCGTTTGAATTCCCCAATGGTCTTTCATCACGATGTGACCTGATGTTGTGAACTCGAAGCATATCAGTCTGGTGACCTCTATGGCCCATTATTGGTCAGCCGCAAGACAAGGACGAGGTTCTGCGGCAAGGTTTAGTTATGATGTGCACGAGAGACCCTTGGCGTCGACTCAACCAAGGAAGTCAGCCAACATTGACAGGGAATGGTCGTATATCAGGATTAGGACTAACAGCCAATTTGGAGCTCTCCATATCTCAAAACGACCAAAACTTTTGCCCAAGGAAAAACCCAGTCTCAACATTTCCAAAGATCTTGGGAGCTATTCTTTCTCTTATTCTTCTCTCCTTTTTCTTCTGTTACATAGATATTGGAAATTAAGGCCTGGAAGTGATAATGGTCAACCTGTCACCATACCATGTCGTTTATTTCTTTTCTTATTCCCACCCTTGCAGGGAGTAGACAAGAGAGAACGTGATTCAACGCACACCGAAACAGATCACAGAAAGAAGCGGGAGAGCGGCCGCCGGAGCCATGTAACATTTAACTGTTTGCAGTTAGACCAATATATTGCACTTTCTTGGCCTGTATGTATAGTGGACCGGATAAAGGGTACATATGTTCACGCCAGCGTTAGGGAAGGTTGCGAGGATATGCAGCTACAGGGTTTTGCCGCTTCAAGTCAGCAAGGCTGAATGATGTCAGTCAGCAAAACGACTGGATAGTTGATATCGAAAAGATGCAGCCCCAATGTGGAGCAGCAGAGCGTTGATAACTTTAATAGGTTAGAGGAATAGATAAAACCTGTTTGGAAGGATTCTAGACATACAATACCTAGGCAAGTATCATCGTAGATCATGTGCAACAACTGAAGGTTTCCAGTACATGGATGTTACAAGTGTGTGATACAACCCATTAATACCCGGGTAAATGGGAGACGCAATGTTGAATAGAATAAATGAGGCACATATGACGAACTATTGATCAAGCGGCAAAATGACCCTGAATGGAGTAATAGCCATTGCTTCGTCGATGCGTGTAGAAGGGTTCCTCACCGAGATAACTGTATGTGATTTATGCCTATGCGCCAAGACATGCGGATGTAAGGCACCTTAAGGACTAACATGTGCTCTGTACGTACAGATATATTGAGGACCCCTTATCTCATATCATATAAGCAATAGCAATATACGTACTCAATTGGCACAGCAATGGGATGTACAGTACATACATAAGAGTAATAGAAAACATCGACTGTATGTACTTTTAGTTCCACCGGAATGAATGCACTGGTAGCCAGCCATATACTGAAAAACCTCAAGTAAACCAAAGTGCCATAAGTAGCAGTGCACTCGGCCCCGCCAAGCACGAGTAGCTATTTGCCTCCAATACCCGTTATGGTTCTGAACGGCGATTGCCCATTGTGAAGAAGTCCCCTCCTGCTCTGGCGCCGGTGCTGAAGAACGGCCTCCGCGAATCGGGAGGTGGGTTGGAGAGGTATTCTTGAACCCCACAGCGGATGATTGGCCCAGGTAACGAAGAAGAGGCGCACCCTGCAGAAGCCCACCCAGGTTCACCCCAACCGGTCAGCATCTCATATCCGCCTGTTCTAGCGCGTATTGTGCTTGTATTTTGCGGTGTCAGGGACCCAAGGGGAAGTTGGTTTGGCCCAACTCGCTCGATGTGACGTCTGCGACTCGAGTTTGAGGCTGACCCGAGCTGTCGGGTCAAATCTTGGGTTCTGATTGGGCGAGCGTAAGAGCAGTTGGCTAACTAACTATAACGCTTAGCCTTATCCCATGGGCTTAGTCAGAAAAAAAAAATCAAAGTCAAATCAATCCTCCAACATCAGCCACAAAAACCGGGTTTGGGGTTTGGCAGCAAAGATCTTTACGAGTTTCAATCCTTGCAACCAGAGAAGACCAGACTATGATGATAAGGATCCTGGCATTGTGCATAACAGTTTTAGAAGACTGGGGTCTCTGAATCTGGATCTCAGACTGTTGGTCCTGTTTTTCTTGATCTGTTCCCCTGTCCTCCAAACACCTGGCGCAAGTCAGATCGTCCTTGTCCCGTCATTCCATGCACCCCGGTTTCACAAACGGAGCATCAATTTACAACAATTGTCTATCACTGTGTCGTTCGTTTGTTATGTCGGCGACTGCAGTCCCAAGGCCGGCCAAGTCGCCGAGTCTTTCGAGAACTGTGCCCTACAATACTGCCCCTGCGTCATTCACGTCCTGATCTGACCTTATCGTCGACGTGGATCCAATTCAATTGTTTCATCTGTGTGGTATGATTTCGCTATTATTATCCCAAAATATACCAGTTATTTTCCAGCATTGGGATAACTCGATGAGCGTAGAAGTTTTCGATCTTATATATCTACCGCATTTTAACACCTATTCAGGCTGTTCCACACAGTCTCTGCATTCCTCCCTGGTTGACTTCACCTCATCTTCTTCATCTTTTAATTTTTAAAATTATTGCAGGGTTGCCAGTGAGAGTCGGTCCATGTTTGCCACTGACCGACAAAACCTTATGTGCGCCCCGGCAGAATTTTCTGCAATTGATTTGATGCAGAAGGAAAGCGATTACCAAACCACCCCTAATAAATATTGGGATTCGCCGGGTCTCGGGGATTCGGGGAAATGACCATGAAAATTCCCATCACAAGCAGTTTTATTCTTTGCTTCAAACCTGGCAGCATACCTTGAAGCCACAGTACCACCCGCGCCCCCGGCCTCCATCTCTTGATAATAAGGCTCTTCCAGATTCATAGGGACTTGATAAGAATTCCTATTATTGTTATTATTATCGTTATCATATTATTTTGGTTGACTTTCCTGTTGCAAAGTCCCACCTCGAAACTCAAACGTTCTTCGTGAAATTATCGGGTGTGTTGCTATCCCGGCATTACCAAACTTTAAAAAGGACTCCTGGAGACTGGGCGCGAATTACTAATCCTATCAAGTATCGAAGTCTCAAATGCGCGTTTGTGTTTGTCATAAGTTAACGAATAGTTAACTAGTTAGTAACTGACGTTAGTTAGCAAAGGGAAAGGGTTGGCTACAAAAGCGGTCAACATAAACATCTGCCATTGGCTGCACTGAACTAAAACGAGAGCTTCGATTTACAGAACGCGACACTATGATTCTTATCAAAACGGTTCTCTTCCATGTCACCATGATGTTGGCTCGTGGTTAAGCAACCAAGGGCGATAGTTAACCGATATGTTATTACTACCCCTTCCTTTAGTTAACGGGGTTTCATTCGTTGCTGAATTTAAACTAACCTGGTGAGGTGTTTGTGCTTCGGCCGAATACTTTTACGGACGTTGGTATGAAGTACTTAGGTTTTCAATTACCAATTTGCAGGGTAATGAACTCTGCACTCAAGACTGGAAATATATGATATATGCATTTCATATATTATCTTACCCACCCTCGGTCCAGTGTTATCGCTTTTTTTCCCCCTAATGCCCTGGAATTTTTACCCCACTGGGCGTAACGGAAAAATTCAAATTTACCTTCCACTGAAAGCCATGATTGTTCACCACATGTTCCTATTGGATCATTTGTTTAGTCCGCTCCTGTTACTTTCCAAGGACAATCCATCTCCCCTGCAAAACGAAACATTGAAGAAGAACTGTGTCCTGGTCATACAATATGCAATCCGGAGAGGGCCCTGAAACCTCCCTTTTCTGCCCCATATAACCCTCAGTGTTGGTTTTCGTGAGCTTTTCTCTTTCCGGCTGGTCGCAGAGATTTGGCAAAATTGAAAAAAAAAGAAAGAAAAACATGCGTGCCCTCTCCACACATGCTGCAAGTGATTTCATTTGACCAGCTAATCCCTGCTACGCAAGACACAGCAAGCCTAATCAACAAATAAAGAGAAGTCTCAATCTACGGCGCTCAATAAACGATTATTGCAGTTCTATCTGTCACAACTCCACAAATGTACGAGAAAATATGCATGTAAAGGAAAAGACCCCACTTCATCGATGACAAATGTGTTACTAACGTAGTTTCTACCATTGCTGTCAACTTGAGTTAATACCTAAACACCTAATAATAGTTAGTTCCTAGATATCAGTGACGTCTTCCAGCGTCCCGCGAAGAGAGAACAGATACCAAATAGAGTTGGTGCTCGGGTAATTGCCGATACTGCTACCATGAAATCAACATTCCTTAAATTTAAAAGGAGATCCAAATTGACTTCTGGCCGTTTCCGCTGGGTACATACAAGAATCCCCACATGAGGAAATACCAAAACCAGCATCGGATTGATCATTATTTTGGACTCCAGACCCTAACGTGAACTGATTCTTAAAAGTGCGTAAAAACCAGAGAAGCGAGCAGGAGACACCTACGATCATCCATTTCCGGAGGAGCTAAGGCAGCAGGGGCAGAGGTAAAATATCCCGCATCAACGCTAAACTATCATATGAAGGTGCGTTTAGAAAACTTGTTTTCAGTTTCTCAAACTATCCATATTACTTACAAGTTATCACCAGTTCTTTGGATGGAAAGGGAGGCCCAAGTCATCGGAGAGGCTGACAATGAGTGCAAATTGTCTATATGCACACTTTTTGGTGTCTTCTTTCTTGTTTAGTTGCATTCTCCATTGTATTTGCGAGAAGGACCATCACTTGGTACAATACATTCTATCTGCTAACTAGTTAGTGCTGAGCCCTATGAGGAGAAGCATAAACGGCAAACACGCCCCGTGAAGAGGTACGAGCGTGAATAAATCTGCGGAATATAATATTGCATCAGAATACGTGATATATGCCGCATGTACATGTTCTGAAATACTTTCTCAATATTTATTTTGGGACCATAGACACAAGGATATTGGGGCCAAGGCAGCGGAATAAGAGAAACCACCAGCACTGCGAACATAATCTCTTCAGCGCAGGGCCTTCCCCAGCCTCCCCCAATGCTGGCTCCACTTTGACTGGAGATCAGAGCGTGTGAACTCGCCCCTGTCAAAAAACTAATTAAGCTGTGGAAGTATATACAGCACATACTCGAGGTACTAACCCAGGGGGCTGTCTCATTCCGTCCAGAAGCTGAATTACTCTTCAATTGCAGACACTGAAGCCTGATTTTTGATCCTGAGAGATCTGCACTTCTCTGAGATATATTTTCCACAAACGAGTTACTCAAGGATACATTAGAAAAACGTTTTATGTTCAGAACGTCAGGCTAGCGAGGGCCTAAGAACAAACTCCCATGGTTATTTAGTGGAACTGTACGGGGAACAGGCATTTTGGAGCTCCATCGAGGTTTTATCTCCGTGGTTGAGGTATATGCATGCACGGCAGTTCATTTTATGTTCCATATTGGCGATGCTACATATTTATTCCAGAAATCGCCTATTTCTTTTTCTTAAACTTAGTTTTGTCTGCATACGGGTTTATGACTTGGGATGAATTGGGAGAGTATCTTGAAGAAGACTCTTAATGTGTTGATTGTCATGCGTGACTTCATCAAGTGCGCTATACAGATGGAGTAGTCGAGAAGATTCAGAACCCGCAAAGGGTTATGAGTGGTGGAGAAATTATGTACACGCCAATGTATGAGCCATATACGCCTCTTCTGGTATCCCTGGATAGCCAGTATATATTTATAGTAGTAAATCTAGATACTAATGTATGAGATGATACGTGATGCCTGTTCCTCCCGTTCCTATTATCTCTCTCTGAAATAGAAGAAGATATGTAACTACAGGAGCTGCTGTGGCACTGCTTGACACTGGAAAAATTCGAATGGAGAATACTCAGCGCACGCCCTGTGGAGAGCCGTGATGGCTGATGCATCTTTCGTGTAACTTCTACTGGGGCGAAGTCCAAGTCGGATTCTGTACATGGAATCAAACCCGGTAACCAAAAAAAAAAAAAAAAAAAAAAAAAAAAAAAAAAAAAATAACAGACAGGAGGGAAATGAAGAAAAACGCGGAAGAAAATAAAAACCCTTTCCTTTTTAACTCTTCTCGACTGTTTTCATTCTCCCATTAGTCTTGCATTCACATTACGGAGTGCCATTTTGGTTAAGAGGCGTCAAAAAGGATGCTACACCGAGGAGTAGTTGATTCTCAGAAGCTTAACTAACTAACAGGCTTAGGCCATTTGCCGTTCGTCACCTGGCCTGGTGCATCTCATCATAGTGATAGGCTGAGAATAAAGAAAACGTCCCAAAGATATGAACCCAAGGCAAACGGAAAAAGCACCGGAAAGAAACTTCTAGTTCCCTCAGATTGAAGCCTTTTTCAATTGCTGCTCTTCTGCAAAGAACTATTTCCCTTCCCGGGCCAAGCAACCAGGTAACTAGTTAGTTAGTTAATAACTATAGGTCAGGTTCCTTGGGTTTAAACGGTGCTAAGCCATTGGGCCCCATTTGGAGAATGGAGAGGGCAACTGTCTCTTATTTACGCAGTAGAAATTGAATGGATTAATGCTGGCGACGCATACTGGTCGTTAAACTTATTAACAATATTGACCAGGCTGGTGTTGGTGGTTGGGGAAATGGTCTAACTACGGACTGGCCACACTGAGTAAAAATTCAGGGGGAGGGTCCCATCTCCAACATCCCGCTTTCTTTCGAGAATAAAGCATCGATGGGTGCTGGTAGAGTCTCTAGATTAATCCTTTTTTTTTTTTTTTTTGGGAGACCGTCAGTTCCATGATACGAGAGTGAAGTTTGTTTGGCTCTTTGTTAGGCCCTCGAAGTCTGAGCAGGTTCCCTGTTATACGGGCGATAGTTATCTCCCATTTCAAGATGCATTGTTTGCTAGCACACGGCCCCCTTTTTGCTCTCTACAACTATGTCTTGCGCAGATATGGGGGAGTGCCCGGACATCTCCCGCCCTTATGGTTGACTGCAGCAGGGAATCCCTTGCCGCCTCAGCCTTGTGGGACATGTCCGTGTGCAATCAACGGGTATATGCCTTCTCCCGGAAACACGGCTGTTCTCAAAACGTGTTTTCCAAGATAAAACTAATACTTATCAGCCTACCGAATGCAGCCAGAGAACGGTGAGTACACTCTCATTTCAATTTTCCATCCTCCGAGGGAACTGCCCAGCGAAGAGCTTCGCCATCGGCTATCGCTCGAAGATGTGTGTGTTCCATGGACACACGCAACGTCTTGGAGAGCTTCCTCCCCTCCCTGGATATCCCTGCTCAGACAGGTACGGTGGGGGCCGAGAAAATGGCATTCGTGAAGCTGGCAACACGTGTGATCCGGAGCTGTCCAAGAATTTGGATAGTTACTCCTGAAGAATCTTTCATGGTTTATCAATGGTGAAATCGGGAAACTTATGCTTTCATTATGTTCCATATGCTTCTAAAACAAAAACCCTTCACATTTACGGATTTCTTCGGAGGTTTCAAGTTGAGACACGGCGTTACCGCAATATCAAAGAAACGGAGATATAGCCATGAAGAAGATTTCAGTTTTAATCTGAGAAGAATGCTGGAAAAAAAAAAAAAAAAGTGTGGGCAAGTTCTAATTACTTTTGAATTGCTTTACTTTCTACCTGCGATGAGAGACTGTCAGGTTGGTAAAATCGCGTTCAGAGGGAATAATTTAGCAACATAGAAGAGAACCCTTCCAAACATATTTTCTGGCTTGATCCATTGACCCCTAAATTGGGTTGGATTTCAGTGCATTCCTATTTCATGTGCTTTCGCTTCGGGTTTCATCGGGGACTCCCCATAGAACAGTTCTATTATTCTAACTCACATCCAGCAGGACACGTAAACTATTACAAAGTCTCAAGGGACCCTCGATCCGCGGATCCGGGGGGCTGAGGAAAGTTGGATACTTATTAATTTGGTTCTGATAAGTGGCCTTCTCCCCATTTAGAGATTGTGTGGCTAATAAATGAGAAACGCATGAAGCAGGTGAATATTTGAAATCATCTTTGCACGAGTAGTTACAAGAAGTGTAATTGGTTCCGTCTCGATATTGATAGCCATGTCATCTCCATCTCGATGACTTTTTCTACTCTTTTTTCCTCTCTGAAGGTTAGTTCCTTTGAACATACATATATATGATTGCTGTTAGTGTTTTTAACACCGGCCATTGGTCCATACATAAATGCAAAAACGTGGAGGGTAATAATATATTAAAAACATCCTTGTTTGAAGAGGGGGGATGCAAGTTGACATTGGCCAACAATTTCTGACAATTATGCACAGATCTTCGTTCAACCGCTTGTGCGTCCTTGCTACGCCGCCGGTTGTCGTGTCATATTGTGCCGATTGGATTCCTTTCTCAGCATCTCGCGACACATACGCATTGTCTTTATCAGGTGCGAACAATAACGCCCATCCATCTTCCAGTGTAATTCCGGGCAGAAAGGCCATGCATCTCGGGGACTACTTTCCCAGTCGCCGAAGTAATATACCGCGCCATATCTCAACTCCTGAGTGGATAGCAGCGATGAAGTGTCTAGACATGACCACACCACATAACTGCCTGAATACATTTAATTACTCCGGCGCTGATAATCGACCGGTAGTTGATAATTTTTCTGCTCTTTATAAGCGAAAGGATTGACATGTGTAGAGGTTCTTCTACTTCTTGACTTGCTGAGATATAGGGCTATGTATATGCAATAGTGTAGGAAATGTCATGGAGAGACATGCTTCCCCCATTTTTTACCATACGGACAAACTAACTTAACTATCTAATAGGTAATTAATGACCTACATCAAACAATCACTGCAAGGGTAGGCCAACAAGCCTTTTGATCTACGTAGTTGCATGCGTCCCCGACGCCAGCAAACCACAAGGTTAGCGGCACTCCCAAATCTAAGTTCTGGTTGACAGCAAGAGATCTCCGATTTCTTGAGCTTGTCTCACATCAAGCCATCCCTGATAATGCAGAGATCGACCGGATGTCACCCAGAACGGTCTGAGACACCGAATGACAGCTTGCCGCTCCTCACTACATGGAGTCTGGTCGCCTTCAGTTTTTTTTTTTTTTTTTTTTTTTTTTTTTTTTTTTTCCATGTACGGAATGCCAGTCACATTGGGATCATTGAGCAAGCCTATAATCTGCTTTCTCCGCTAGTCAGATCTACACACCGATCCTGTCTCCCATGAAGCCTGTTCCTAGGCAAGATATTTTTCTCTGGTCTAGGAATCATACATTTATTTCCTGCATAAACACATCTCGGCCCCCAACGGTCAACTTATGCTTTGCGCCGCAAATGTGCCCATTCCCATTGGTCCTACACTGTTTTTGGTTCCATATCCACTCCTCCTTACAGCCCTTCCTGCAAGAGAAGAATGTTACACTGCATCCCCGCACTGCAACAAAATAGTAAACATTGCCAAGCATTCACAAAGCTGATCATCGATCACGGCTGGCTCCACTATCCTGTCCAACTTCGAGGCAGATCTGTGGATCAGTGGGCGGGGCACTGTCCCGCACCTTGCCCTATTAAGCTAGGGTAAACAACTCTAAATTTCATCCCGTTTGTCCCAGGCAATCTGCCAGGAGGACCATCCCTGACTTGTGAGATATATACATCCTGGGGTGGTTATCTAGATTGGTCTGGCATATCACGGTTAGGCGCATCTGCGAATCCATTTGTATGGAGAAGAAAAATCAAGAGGGCAGAAAGCAAACACAATTCACGGTCAGTCTTAATAGAGCGCTAATTATTTATTATGACATCTTAAAAAACGAAGATGGATAATTTTTTATATTTGCTGATCACCTTTCAGCTATTTCAAATGCCGGCAACCCTGTCTGTTGAGGAAACTGGTGTTGGCAGCTTTTTATTTAATAATATTTCGTGGCTGTCAGTTATTAAAATTGCCATGTTCTTCCCGCTTCGAGGACATGTCCTTTTCAGAATTTATCAAGTTACCTTAAGTTTAGCGATTTATCTGGCGGGAATACCCAAGAGGATTTTTGGAAATTTTCATAAATTGATCATTAAGAATTCATGGAAATGTCTCTGTGCTTATGCTAGACAGATATCTTGTCAGGCGAGTGTTTTCCTTCAGGTTCAGCCGGTCCCCTTAACCTCGACAAACGTTTCTGTCTTACTATCATGTGTCACCTATGTTTTGATTTTGAATCCGCCGATTCAAAACATAGCGAATCAGGGATTTTCTCCTTTAGAACGAATGCTTAATGTCTGACCTGCTGCGAGAGAGTATGACAGTATTCAGGTAACGCCCTCGTTTGCATAAATGCTCGAAGATCCATTCTATCCAAGGTGCTACCTGTAGGCACCCCTCTGGGAGAAGTGCAAGAGATATGTGAGAAAGGGTTGGCGGGGATGGCAAAATAATACCCAAAAGAATGCTGAATGGGAGGGGGGGCAGTTTGGTGTTGAGATCGAGATTACTGCCCGGTGTAACTAGGTCTGGCTATATTTCCCCTTCTTTCTGATCCCAGTCATGCTCGAGGTCGGTTGGCTCGAGGCTAAGCTAAAAATGCCTTTTTCTTTTTCTTTTTTATTTTGTTTGCTCTTGCGAAAACACCCTTTTCGCAAGAAGGCAGGATAGAGTTGAGGGGTTTTGTTTCCTGTTCATTTCTCATCGTGCATGTAAATAGCAAATATCTAAAATGCCCGTCTTCCCTCTTACCACTTTTACTGCATAACGTCCGGGGACAACATATGTGTGAAGATGCCATTTCATGCTTTAACTAATAGCAGCCTGGGAGCTATAACGCTCTAAAGAGGAGGCTTTGCAGGCTACCATACCGGCATGTTACAAGCACCCTTCCCACTGCTATCTCGCTCTGTGTGTCTAATCCGACCATCGACACTGTTCTCGATTTTAGAGGAATCCCGAGCTACCGTCACAATAACCCCCGAACTCAACACAACAATATCATGTTACTATTCAGGTAAGAGCTGTTTTTCCGCCTGCTAGGAAGGGAATAATCCCCCATTTCGTGGGTTTATGGCTTTTAGGGGGTGGAATAACCTTTGCAAGGGCTAGTTAGCCGGTTATTTTGTGTAATTTCTTCCCTCATCTTTGCCCCCTGCAGACAATAACCACCCTCGACAATAGCGAACCTTTCCTTGAATTGTGCCAGACAGTCGGGATGGCATTTCCTTGCAGTATAAGTTCGCTAAAAATTATATATTTGCTCCTACCATGACGTTAAGAACTTTCCCGAGATGTCCGGTTGTCGCCTTTGTTTTCTATTCGAGAAGATAGCACTTCCAGGTAAATCGTGTAACTAACATTAAATGCACAGTGCATGCAAAGCATGTCGAGGACAACGTTTGAAATGAAGCGGTCACCCGTGCGGGATCGTGAATTATGAATAATAATGCATGTAAAGTTTCAGGGAGACAATGCGATTCAAATTGCGGGAGACATTTCTTCGACAAGGCAGGTTCTAAGCGACGAGAGACTCTTAGGCCGTGTGCTTGATTGTGCTCTCGATGAGCAGGTTGCACAACAGTTTGTAGGGTAATAAGTAGACCCCGATTGACGTAGGAAGCAGTAACATCGTGAAATTTGAGATGCGGGCAATATCCCCAGCTGCTCTGCTTTTCTCTTTTGGCTACTCTAGGTGCTAAAGGGAGGGAGTGTAAAGAGAAGAACCCTTAGCTATCTCAAAATATCAGCACTTGCAATTTCATGGATTAATGGTGAAATGGAATAAGTGATTCGAGCCCGACTTCGGCCATTTCGTAGGGTAAGTGACAGAGGGGTGTGTTGATGCCGATGGACGCCTGTGGGGCTGATGATATTTAGGTCCATTAATTAGTTAACTAGTTAACTATTGAACCAGGGCTGATCAGAACTATCTATCCAAACCAGATATTGGTGGACAGCTTTCAGAACTGGACACCGCGACAACGGTGAGGTCGTCCTCAGACATCATCCGAGACCTGCCCAGCAGAGTTCCCTCGATCGATATTGCTGGCAATTATCCTAAAATAGCCACAGAGTTCTTGGTTGATGGAGTGTTGGCTCACAAGGTGGCAAATTTTCCTCTTTGCGCTTGAGTTGACCCCCAGACCCATGCCCGAATGACGCTTACACTGTGTCCCTGCCGCCCAGGTCATATCTCCTGTGACATGGTGACGAGACATTCACAAACCTCTGTGGATGTGGATGGATGTGGTACTATTGCCAGCTGCTTTCTCAAGCTTGTGTTAAATTTGAGAACTTGTTGCTGTGGTGTGTCTGGTGTTGGTGCTTCAAAAGCTCACGTATTATCACAGTTGGGTTGTGATTGTTGCGACACAATACCCGATTCTCAGGACTGGGTGTGTGTGTGTGTGAAAAACTGATTGAGCTAAAGCGAACACTACCATATCATTCCATGGAGGTTCGCAAGTGGGATAGCTCTGAAGAGCTATTGGAATTTCCAACCAGTCTCGTATATGCCATCTTCCAATCATGGTACTCGACCATCGCCAGGGGAGATTGCCAATATCTTTATATTTTGCCACTCAATATTTGCTTTCAGAGCCATGCATGGACGGCCTCAGATCGACCTGTTAGTTTCTAGTCCAATATCAAGTTCCTGCTCCTCGTTTTGTTTCCAAGCATTCGCCCCCCATGGGATATCAGGTTTGACCAAGCTGAGAATGTCAACACAAGCAACAGCCCTTGAAGCTATTTTCACCTGCGGCGACAGGGAAACGAAGTGCGGGGAACGAGACGCAGAAACCTAGTGCTGCTGTAACCCACATCTACCATGACTATGCATTAAACCTTTGTCGCGACTGGGGAGATTGGATAGGCGCGTAGTGTTGGCCCCTGATCACCGTCTGCCCGTCTCATCTCTCCATGGATTCTCGTAGGTGGGATTGGAGGGGGGGGGTGGCAAGAAGGCTCTTGACATAGGATTTTTCTATTCCTACTCTTAAAGCCCATGGTCCAATTCACTGGTGGAGTTTTGGCAAAGCACATGCCATATGGACGTCAAATCGCTCCCCAGCGAAAAAGCGAATACTATCACACGTCTCACCCGCGCCATGGCTAGCACTTCAGCGCCATATATTGGGGTGGCACAGGGCGCAGCCAGGCCTGAAACTTTTCATTTCCGAGCTATTTTGTTACATTGTATGAGGCACGCTCTGTGGAAATAGGCTGGTATGCAGCCTCGAAGGCTTGGTTGGCCGCTGCAATGTCGGACATATAAGGCGCCCCTTAAAATGGCTTGCTATACTTGGAAAAATAAATAACTGTTAAAGGCAGCAGAGGTAAGAAAACGGATGGAGTCCTGAACGTAGCACAGGACATAAGCAAAACAAATTTCCGATTCCTATTCTCATTTCTTAATGGGTTGGGATAGATTGGGAGCCTGCAAAGCAGTTTTCAACCTGTTGCCCTGCATTTCAATCCTCGTTCTCCAGTTTCTCCATGCTTCACTTTTATGATTCTTCCCTGGCCTAGGGCATTATTTCAACTTTCCTCCGCTCCGTACTGTCGTGTTTCGTTTGGACTTTAGGCCTGCATGAGCTAGTCGTACAACCGTCTACAGTGCCTACCTAGTCTCACCATCCAGCTCACTATTAGATCTCCGACTCAATTTCATTTGTTATTGAAACTTGTTGGAGGGTGAGATGATTGGCTAACAGCCGGCAAGCGCCGGGTCCCGTGTCTCCATCTCGCGTTTGTGGATTTCTTTTATTTTCAAAAACAAGGATCCTTGCTTTCTAAACCAATAAGTCTTGTCGGACTCATATTGTGTGTGGATATCAAGTCATTGGAATGATAGTGTTAACGTCTTCCTTGTCTATTGGAGATGCCGAGAGGAACCAGCTGGTAACAGTCAGAGGGGATATCCCGAAAAAGGGGAACTCCTCCTACTCATGTTTTCGAGACATTGCTCCTCTTAGCTTGGGGAAGTAGGAAAGATGCGTTTCAAGCCTTCTGTGAGGTATGGGTAGGAATTGAACATCTCTTTTCCTTTGCATCTCAGCATCTCAAATATATCCCTCTATGTAAATGTCTGCTGGCTGGAGAAGGAGGAGAGACACTGGGCCAGGAGAAGATTTGGAGAAGCTTCAACAAAACATGAGCTCCGATAAATGAAGGGGTAAAAAACGCTGCGGGGCGCTTTTTGTAGACGAGTTGGGTTAAAAGTAAAGGGGCTAACGTTTCTCTAGAAAATGTCAAAAATAATTAAATTGGAACATAGCACCAAAACTATAAATTGAAGGGAAAATATAACGGATTATGGTATCTTGATACCTAAGAGTTATACTTCTATGCTAACCTCCTCACTCTATCCATTTCTCACTCTGAAAAACCATATCAAAACTCCTTGAAAGAGAAGCAATGGTCCTAAAACCAGAACATCCAGGGTAGAGAAAAGAATAAATGGAGTTAATGATACATACATGCACCATATACACACATGAAGTACAGGGGATGTGGATGCTTGAATGATGTTACAAAAACAAGGAAGTGCACTATCAGCCCCTTTTTCTACTTCTTTTATCTCAATCAACCAGAAAATGATGGAGAGGGGGAGAGAAAGAGAGCACAAATGGGATATGTATCATATCATACTCATTTAGTGATAGGAGGCACATTGTTACCTATGCCTGAATAACAGGGGGAGCAATAATGAAACAAAATGTAGTGGTCTTCGTGATTGAAAAGCAGCTTGAACAAAACGCAAAAATCCTGGATGATGCATTGTTGAGATCGCCTATTTCCTTCGTTCCCCAAGGCAGAACAAACAAGGAGTTTGCTTTGCTTGAATACTTTTCCAAGGCTTCTTGTTACTTTCTTTTTCAAGATAACATAAGGAACGGCGGGAAAAGTTGAGGAAAAATAACAAAAAAGCGAAATTTTGAAAGGGAGGTAGTTCATCCAAGGCATCCATCCATGATCCTGTCATTTAATCTGCAAAATATATTCTCGAATCGCATTGCCTCTCATTGATTATTATTTGATTTCTGTGTTGGCTGAACTTGAGTAGTCCGGAACGCATGCTGTTGCTGAACCCGCGGTTGTGGGAGGATCACACAATCCAAAACCTGTGGCGTTGTACCAGATATCTGATTCTGATGCTGGCTCTGACTCTGACTCAGGTTTAGACCTTGCGCCGCCGCCAACTCGTTCTCCCTCCTTCTCCGATCCTCCTGATCGGGAGTCATGCTCTTGACAGGTGGCGGTATAGGGGAATCGGGAGAAGCTCTACCCATTAGCTTGGGACTGGGATGGAGTCTCTGTACAGGTGGCAGAATGGGCGTGGTCACCGTGCTCGAAGAGGTAAAGGATGAAAGAGGTGGGTGTGCTGGGGAATGTTTTATGGGGCTTATACCTGAAGTGGGAGGTAGAGATGGAGAGGGAGAGGTGTATGCAAATGAATTCCTGGCTGGTGTGGAGGTGGTGGAGGAGAAAGAAGGGGATGTACGAGAAGGGTTAGATGGCTGGGCTGCTGTGTAAGCTGGGGAGGAGGTAATGGCGTTTTGTGTGGGAACTTGGTGATGGACGCGCGGAGTGGCAGGAAGGGGTCCATTCGGAAGTGATGAAAGTGGGAATCCGGCTAGCGAGCCGACATCTTGGTTTCCCTGCGTAGGGGATATGGAGGGGAGGTTTCGTATTGGGGATATGAAGGAGCCTGCTTTCGTTGATGGGGATGCGGAGATGCGTTGGGGGGTGAAAGAGCTGGAATTTGATCTTGGGTATAGTCCTGGAGGGTGGTAGTGAAGAAAATGAGGGGCTGGTCCTGGCGGCTGAGTGTTGGGACGCGGGAGCGCGTTTGAGGCTTCGTTGGTAAGGGAGAAAGGGGATGGAGCCAATGAGGAGTTAGGCTGCTGTATATTGGAACGGGGGTGGTGACCAGGAGGCAGAGGATAGAGACCATTGTGCATTGGCTGCATTTGGTGCTGGGGCGACGAGGGTAGGGCCGGCTGGCTAGAGAGAGAGGTGGTTTGAGGGTTAAGTAAACGTTGCCCCTGGCTAACCTCAACCACAAAACCATTCGTTGAAATATTGCTTTTTGGCAGTGGGACCGAAGGTTTAGCAGGGGAGGAAGATGGGTGTTTGGCCTTCTTCACTGAAGGGGAGAGGGAATGATCCTGCCTCTTGCGTTTTTCTCCATTGGCCTTTGGCTTGCCAGTCGAGGGAGGGGAGGAAGAGGCGCCAATGCGGAACTTCAGAGGAGGGATTTTCGGTAGATTAGCCTCCTCTATACGACGTTTGCAGTCGCTACAGACAAAATGGAAATCTTCCTTTTCAGCTTCATCTTTTGGAATAACCAGACATTCGATATGTTGCCAAATATTGCATTTCTCGCAAGCAACAATATGAGAACCATCATCCTGTGTCAGAACTTAGTGACCACTCACGAGCCGCACCACAGTAGAACAGCAAAGGTGACTTACAAGATTCTCCCCATGCACACCACAACCGGAACAATCGAAAATCCACTGTTCCTCGTTCTGTAGAGCCTCGAGATCCTTCTTGCGCTTCTCCATCTCAGCCTTCAAATGCCTCTTAGACATCCTCGCTTCGCCGCTTTCAATCTTCTTTGCCTCCTCCGCTATCTTTGCCAGCTCCTCTTCATGCAATCTCCGTTTTTCTTCACGGTCCTTGAGACGCTGCTCCCGGGTCATCATGCGGTACAGCCGTTCCTTCTCAATCTTCTTTTGCTTCGCCTGCTCCTTAATCGCAGCGATGCGCTCTGCTTCACGCTTTCGCGCCGCTTCTGCAGCTTCCATTTCCTGGCGTTCGCGGTCTTGCTTGCTTGCTATTCTGCTTGAGCGTTTTGCATTGGCCATGCGTTGCATATTAATCAATTCTTTCTCTCTTCGTTCTCTTTTCCTTCGCTGAGACTCCTCGACTTTTTCAATGACAGGGATGACATTCTCCACGAGCTGTTCTCGAAGGAACTCTTCGTTGGGATCTTTAGACTTTTTAATTGTTTCGAGGAAGGCGTTATACTGTGCAAGGGTAATAGCAATGCACTCCCATTTGTAGCCACGGTCGGATGAATCATGTTCAGCGCCTCCATTAGCCTCATTCTTGGGCTCTTTATCCTCTTCATCTTTTATTCCAGAAAGCTTTCGCTTTTTCGCAGCGCGGGCAGCTGCTCTCGCCTTTTTGCTGTTCGCCTTTGGTTTAGCAGGCCTAGCAGCCGGGATGGGAGGGTCAGTTCGACGGTACAACCTGTTATCATCGAGCACGTAGTAAAGCCGCTCATCGCGATCATATCCAATTTCGTCCACGCGCTATTTAGTTCATCCCGAATCAGCAATCAGCTCCTCAAGATGTAGCACAAATCTGTCTAAGGGGCCTACTAGTTACATACCCATTGAGTCTGCTCCGTTTCCTTTTGCTCTGGCATCCTTTCGCGCATGCGATCCGGATTCCAGAAAGTCCATAACGCTAATTGCTGCAAAATACGTATTCTTTGAAAAATATCGAGATCGTTGAACTTGATAGGCTCCTCTGCATCCCCGAACGGGTTACGGGCAGGTGCTTTTGCCAAGTATTGCCGCCTGGTATACTCTTCGAAGTTTTCCGACCTATCTCGCCAAAATAATAGAGGAAAATTATTAACTTGAGTTTGTCAATGCCAGGGGGGAAAAGAGGTGTTGGGGGAGGGGCATACGTGAGTCCGCGATGGGATGAGACGAATTTTAGGAGGGTTAGTCCGATATCGAGAAGTTTTGCTGAAGGACCAGGCTTCAGACATTCCGTTTCCAAGTTCTGTTGAGATCAAAAGAGTTGCGTTAGCAAATCTGTGTGTTCCTTTGCCGGGAAAGTAGATGAAAGTGGATAAAGGAAACCCAATAGGACCCTGGACGAAAAGAAAAAGCAAGGAAAACGCACATCAATATCGATATCATCGCTAATCTTCACCACCTTCCCGAAGGAATAGATATACTGCACAAGATTCGAAAACTCCCACATATTGCGCAGCTGGTGGAGCAGGCCATGTTCTTCTTCATGGCCCAGCTGCGGTTCACTCTTTTTCGCGACATGTGTACTTGAATCCTCGGTCTCCTCCCTGGCGCGCTTTCGCAAAACCATTACGGAGGTTATTTTCGCAGGAGTCCGCGGATGAGATCGTTTGACGCGAAATAAAAGGCTTATCTGGTCTCGACTAGAGATAGGATCGGTATCTAGGTAGACTAGGGATCTGACCCAGACGGTCTGCGCGGCGGAGGGTAACTAGGGGGGAATAACGAAAAGGTGCCGGAAGCCCTCTTGTCCTAACAGTCGTCTATAGTCTATTGTCCATAGAAATGCTTGAGGGGAAGCTCAGAAAAGATACTAGATCAATAGGAGAAATAGAAGAAGTAGAGAGGCATAGAATGACAAAACAAGTGACACGGGGGGAGTTGACAAGTGCCCAGAGCCGCATTTATTTTTATTTTCATATATTGGAGAAAGTCAAGGCAAGAAGGCACGTCGATCAAATCGGGAAAGGTCGATAGTTCCACGGCGAAGGAGAAAACGACAAGGGGAAACGCTTTGGGTTAGCGTGAAGCGTCGCGTCTGCCAAGCCATATGCTAACTGGCGGGGGAAGATTGGTAAGCGCAAATCACCGTGTCATCTAAATTATATTAACTAATGGGTTTAAAAGTTGGGGCGTGGTTAGTCACCCAATATTAAATTGCTCAGTTAAACAGTCTACACATTTCACACACTACCACCACACTGCATATATTACTTATACATCTCTATTCAATCTCACCGTTCCCAACACTGGTAAGAGGTATGTTATGGATTAGGATTAGCTAAGAATAAGGGTCTGAGATGTATGATTAAAATCACTTCCGTCAAGAGCATATAGCTGAAGATGTGAGGTTATGTGGAGGTATGATTAGCGTATGTAGTTTTAAAGGGTTAAGTGTCATGGTTTATTATTATCATAAACTTCGCCGAAGGTTTTTCCGCACAAAGATTTAAAACCATGTTCAACCCCCTTCGAAAACCACGTTTTAACTCTAACGCCCACAGAATGATGACATCATTTGTTTGAGAAAGCGAGACATTACCGCAATGCCAAGTAGGATATTAAAATATCCATCAGATAAGAAAAGATAGGACCTAAGCATGAATAAGATCTCAACATCCCCCCCCATCTTATGACCCTTATTGCTTGGTAAAATCCGCCAGGAACCCTAACCATATCACCAACAAGGCCAGCGTGAAAAAATGTAGAATGGAAGGAAATGAAGCATTTGTATACTTAATCCCATCAAACCAAGGGAGTCAGTAAAGTTTAACAAAAGTAAAGTTGAACTGATAGGGCCTCGCTTCAACTGTTGTTCTCTCAGCCTCCTCTCATCTCTTCTCTTTTTCTCCCTTCAGAAAAACTTGAAAAACACCAAGAATAACTGTAAATTAAAAGTTCTGTACGAGAAGATTGGTTTTGCATGAAAACACTACCTGGAAGGGGAAACACAGAGAAATAACACTCAACCCTGGCTAAACAAGACAACTTGCCAAATGCTCATCTCCTGCCAGAAGCAACATCTATTCATTTCACATTCACCTCCCACACTTTCCCAAAGGAATTTTCCCTATCTGTACCATAATCAAGAGGGTAATGAAGTAGAAAGTGAATGTAAAATGAACATCCATGGCATGGCCCCATATAACAATCACAAATCGAAAATTAAAATCAAAAGGTAAGACAATTCCAGTGCTGAAGCATGAAGTTGACAAAGGGAAGTGACAAAGGAGTGCCATCGAGAGAAAGACTGGGGAAGAAGCTGGAAGATGCAAAACAAGAGGGGGATCGCGTTTGTGTCTCCGGGAAAAATGAAACATAAGACATGAATATGACAACTGAGCAATGATGGTAAAATTATGGGCATAATAAAGTAAAATGAGATCATTTATTACATGACAACAAAAGCACAAAGAAAAGAAGAAAAAGTGAAGAAAGGGGAGAAAAGAGCAGGGAAGAAAAGAAAGATAGAAAAAAGATTCTCCCAACTCACTCGCCCAAATTACCCAGCCCCTGAGGTGCAATCAAAGCCAAATTGAAGAAACAAAACGCAAAAAGAAAAAGAAGATCCGCATTCATTTGAAACATTTCCTTTTTCCCTTGTACCCTGCCTGTGATGCCTCTACGCCGAGATTTGCACAAGACCATTTCTTGTCCGCCGCCTATTTGGCAGTTATTTTGTCTGTTCAAAGTTCGTCCTACATCGTAACAAATATGGATGTATGACTTCTTTTTTGTTGAAATTTCTTTCCCCCAGCCCACTATTAGCTTTTTTTCCTTTCTCTCTTCTTATCAGTGTATTCGAGTATTATTTCGCAGACAAAAGGCAAAAAAAAAAAAAAAGCAGACAAAAAGAAAACATGAAATAGAGGAATCGACAACCTACTTTCTTTGGAATTTTTCTTCGTTAGATATTTTACATAGTGGCGCCAGTCGAGGTCCCGTCGACAACGTTATCGGACAGATTAATTAGAAGTTGAGCTAGGCAACGTTTCGTAGCAGCATCATCACGCAGGACTGATGAGAATGTTGCATCCCGAAGGGGCTCCGGAAGGCATTGGCGGAGGGCTTCACGTGCGCGATTGTTATCGCTCAGACTAGATAGAAAGATTAGGAGCATAACTCAGACAAACCGGGTAGCAAAAAAGATTAATAAACAGAGGGGGGGCTTAGGATAAGGAAAATACCGAAGAAAACAACGAACGACATGCTTAAGCAGCCGCACAGTTTGCTGCTCAACAAGCTGAGTGACCATATTACTCAACACGGTTCCAACGGCATAGAACCGCTCATAAGTAGCACAAATATATGCAAGGCCAATATCATCCAGTAAGATCTTTTGTACAATAAAGATGGCAACAGTCTTGCTTAGTTCGGAGCCTGTTTCCATGATGCGAAGGCATAGGGGAATGATTTCCGTCGTGAGCAGGAAGTTTATGACGTCTGACGAGTCATTTTTCACCAACGCGCCGATTACACCAAGAGAGGTGAGACGGAGATATTCAAACGGACGAGATTTCGAGGTGGTGTTAAGAAATGGGTAAAGGAAAAGAGGGATATGTGCTGTATTTTGGCCAGGAGTCAGCACATCGGTTTTCAGATTACAATTTCATTTGAGAGCCAGTGGCGATTTCATATTACCATTCAAGAAAAGAGTGCGCGTCTCGTTGTGCGAAGCCACACATTGTAACAGAGCGAGAGCGTTGCAAACCCTATTTGAGGCCGCAGCAGTCAACTGGGATGGGTTCAATAGAGGATAAACAGAGATAATCTCCTGAAGTAGAGAGGTCATAACACCTGCCCCAAAATAAATGCATCAGTTGTTTGAAAAGGCGACAAGATGGTGAGAGCAAAGGCAAGGAGGAGGCTAGAGGACAACCTCTCATCATCACGTACCGAAGGAATGCCATATTATAAGAGCGAGTTCCGGCACCTGCTCCCTCTTCTTGCTAAGCTCCATTAAAGCAGCCTCTCGCCGAGCAGGATCCATAAGCTCAGCCACCCACACAAGGACTCTCCGATTCTCTTCGCTGATACCCCCATCGATATTGCCAGCACCAGCAGCGGCACTATCTACACCGGACGCAGCCTGGTTACCAGCAGCAGCGACAGCGGAAGCAGCAGAGCTACTATTCAAGGCTATCCGATTGTAATGTTGGTGTTGGGCCACAGCAGCCGCAGCGGCAACCGCTGCCTGCGCTTGAGCATGCTGTTGGGCTGCCAGAGATGACTGGGGATGGTGCTGTTGGGACTGCGCCTGCTGCTGCTGTTGTTGATGTTGCTGTTGCTGCTGCTGGTAATGGGAGGACTGTTGCTGCTGTTGTTGTTGCTGCTGTTGTTGCTGCTGTTGGTGCTGCTGTTGCTGCTGGATCCAGGAAGCGTCTGCAGCTGTCTGGGGATATTGATGCTGATGTGAGAAAAGGTGTTGGGATTGAGTCTGTAACATCGCGAAAACAGGAGTATGAACGCCACAACTCTGGGGAGGTTGTCCCCGAGTGACCAGCTTTGCACAACGCTATGAGTCAGATGAGAGGATAGGTATGGGTTCTGAGGAATAGATAGGGCAGAGAAGAATGAAAAAAGGAGACAGAACTGGGTGGTTGAAGTCTGAAGTGCGAAGTCCGAAGTAATGAGATACAAGAAAGTTTTACTGGGGTCAGTTGATTCGACCGATGATGACTAATCACCCGCAGGGTACTGACACCCAAGGTCCACATCTTCGACGGCAAACTTCCAGGGCTCGTCGATGGATCGATCTATGATTCTGTCAAATGCAAACACTAGGTATGAAAAGGATGTCAGTAGGATGTGAGCTGGGACAGCTAACAATCATTTTGTGCATCCTTTTCTTTGGCTTTGCTTAAACGGAGTACTTTTCAATGATATAACTAACACAAGTTTGCACAAGTTGAATTTATATCATTTTGGTCTAGTCGTTATTTACTTCATCCCTAGCTCTTGTTGGAGCTTTGTCCTGAACATACATTCCCGTACATACATATTCCGCACCCGTCTGTTCGTATCCCTGATATCCCTTAATCTTCATAACAGAAAAATATTACCCGTATTATTCTATACATAGTCGACATTTCAAATCATAGACATATGAAGATTGCCCCGTTCAAACCCCGCTTAACGCCGCATCATTGACAAACAAGATTCAAGACAAATAGAGAAGAAATTGAAAATGAAAGGATGTTCGGGAAACGCTGGAACATCGACACAAATGGATGGAGATCTATTCGAGGACGATGCTTTGGAAATCAACCAGCAGAATTCAGAGAAGTGGAAAGAGGCCAATCAGACAAAGAGAAATCAATGCTTTGTCGATCTCGATCTAGATCTTGACTTCGACTTTGTCTTCGAATACTGTGACCGTTTCGTTCGGGGCGCTGAACTGCCTAAAGGAGAGGGGGAAATTGGTTAGCACATTGAAAGCAAATACCACTAAAACAAACTTCAAACGCCGTGGATGTCTACTTACTGCTACTGCTGCTGCTATAATCATAATAATAATACGAGTCCGAATATGTCGCCGAGCTTGGAGGACCATTCTGCTTCTTTTTGCTCCTCAATCCAAGGCAAATCGCCAATGCACCAAGTATAAGCCCGACACTAGTCCACTTTCCCATCCCAAACAAGCCTGACTTCTTCGACTTCTCGGAATAGGAGGAGTACGAGGCTGAGCCCGCAGGCGGCCGGGAGGGACGATAACCAAACCACGTACGACCCGGTGGACGATTGTCAACGTCAGAGAACGATTGGGTACTTCCGGAGCCGCTACTGCTTCCTCTCTTTTTTCCTAGTCCCAGCAGTGCCAGGATGGTCGTGATGGCGCCCTTGGCACAGGCGGAGAGGCAGATGAGGAATAACAGGACAACTCCGACTAGGACACCGATGACGATGCCTGCGATTGCGCCGCCGCTGAGTCTGCCGCCTGTGGAGGCCTGTGGAGGGAGAGGTTGGCCATCTGATCCGACAGGCGGGATGAAGGGGACGGCTGCTGTTGGGTGGGCGGTGATGGTTGCGCGGCCGGAGCTGGTTGGTCTGGTCGGAGGAGTTGGGGCGGGGCCAACTGTTGGTTCGAAGGGTGAGCTTCCCGATTCAACGCATCGGAGTTCGTCCGTGTTGCAAGCTTGGGCGGCTGTGCAGCATATTGTCCCGCAGAGGGACTCGCCGAGGTTGAGTTGGCATTGTACTTGATTTCCGGACGTTGGCGCCGTGATTAATCTGCTCCCAGTCGACGTGACTGTTACCAGATCTGTGCGGACGTATGCTGTTGTGAAGGTTTCCCATTGGCCGGAATCTTGAGCTTTCGCGGGGGGCGAATTGACGCAAACTGCTTGATTGTTAGCGTTGGTGGAGCAAGTTTGCGATGCGGTGCAGCATTCTTGGCTGTAGAAGCCGCATGGCGTGCAATCGCGGCTGGCAAGATTGAGGTTGAAATGGATGCGGAATGGGAACGATTGTGTCAATGGCGCTTGTGAGAGGATGGTTAAGATGGCTAAGGCGCATGAGGATATCCTGAGGCGCTGCATTTGGTTGTATTGAGGTTGAAAGAAGTCCAGTCTAGATCCTCGACTCAATGGGAGTCTATTGTCGTCTCTCACCAAGCACCGTACAAGTACAGGCCGGTTCGTAGAGCGCACGACAATCCAAATTGGGCCTCTTGAAGGCTCTGCGACAAACTGCCGGAGGAAATTTTAGAGGTGAGAATACGTGAGGTGGATAGATTTTCCACGAGCAACAAAACTTTCCCCGCTTTGACAGGTTTGGTAAGAGCTCAACGGATATGCAGAAAACGATACGACAAGAAGATTACATCAATTTCAAACCAAGGAAAGTAAAACAGAAGAAAGAGAGAAAAGACGAAAACAGGAAAAGAAAAAAAGCCCTCCAAACTTGAGGTGGTGGTGTGCTTGTCTAAGACCCAGCCCTTTCTTTTTTGTCCCGCCCAGCCACTTTTCTTATTACTACATCACTGTTCAGTTAGTTAGTGCCAACTCACCCAACCACCCTAATTTTGCAGCCAACACCGGCCCCCGTTGGGTTTAATAAATTTCGCCCTTAGGCACTTTAGTTCATAATTGCAGTTGCAGGAGAGCGAGCTAGAAATTCCCCAGCTGCGGAAGGGGGAAATTAATATTTGCAGAACAGACTGTTGTTAATAACGTTGGTGTCAGTTGTTCGTGCGCGGTGCTTACAGCTTCTGCGTCATCCGAAGTTTGGGCGGGGAAACTTGGTGGATGCCGACCGGCGACTTGCCGGCGTGGCATAACAGGAGATGGTCAGAAACATGGCCAGCGAATATGTCAGGGCAGACACATGTATTTTCTTTTGCCTCCCCCCGCCATTCGGCATGTACGATCTCTACTCCCGTACTCCACGCAGGCAGTAAATAAAGTGTCTTGATATTGTGGTCTGAGTTTGATGGGTCTGGGTCTTCCCGCAAAGGTACCAGCGCCGAGAAAAGCTAATATGCTGACTAATTCGTTCACTTCGATCTGTTTGCAAGTAAACACCCTTGATAAGGCTTAAGGGTGGGGAAATGGCTCCAACTTGTAGATTGACGCTATTAAGCCACAATATAATGGAGAGAAGACAGCAGAACCAGCAGAAGCCTGCCGGAGAACAGCCCAGTATCTAGAAAGTCATCGGCAGAAAGAAGTAAGGCATCATAATCCCGATTGTTCACATGTACAAGGCCAATATACATATTTGTGGTGTCGTATATATCTTAGCACTTAATATGAAAAAAGAAGAGGAGAGAGATAGAAGGGAAATAAAGCAGACGCTCGAAACCCGACGTTAACCAAATACCAAAGGAGAATTTAAAAAAAAAAAAAAAAAAATCAGAATCATCACAAGATAATCACCACATATAAGAACCAAATCATAGTGTAAAAAAGGGGGAAGAACACCACAATTAAAATCAAACAATCATCCCCACAACCGCAACTACAACCCCAGCCGCAATATCATACAACAATCCATTTCCACTCCTACCCCCATTCCGTCCAATCCCTCCAGACCCCACTCCATCCCTAAACGCCGTACAATACCCCACCTGTAACCCATGGCACGCAGCCGTGCTCAAACTCGAGCAGACAGACTGCGGATTCCCCGCTGTCGGCGCGTAACCGGCTACCGTTATCCCCTGCCCATTCCAACCCCCGACAGTGACGCCGTGCACACCTCCCAGCGCTGCCGTACAGCTGGAGAATTGCGCCTGGCAGCTTGAGTAGGCAGTGGTGCAGGCTTCTTGGTTGGAAAAGGTGGTTGGGATGACAGTAAACGGAAATGGGGCGCTGGGGACAACCGAGGCGGTTCCTGGTGTGGTGGAGGTTGGGGTTAGGGGTGGAGTGGTTGTCGCGGTGCCTGGCTGGGGGAACATGAAGTTGGTGGAGGTGGTTTGGGAGGGGGCTGGTCAGGTTTTTGGATATTTGTTACCAATTTTTAACAAGTTTATAAGATCGGGGTTATAGGGGAAAAGTAGAGATATTTGCCCACCTGTCAGTTTACCAGTACACATCGATCCGCTGGGACAGCAGGCGATGTGATTCGCATCGTCGCGCGAGCAGACGGCATTGGACTGGCAGCATGCACCGGCAGCACCTAGCAAGGCGCAGCTGTTGAAACCTGCCGGACACTGATTCTGGCGCCTTTCTAGTGCTACAGCCTCTTTTGCATTGCGACTGTCGATAAAGTTCGGATTTCCATCATCATCATCATTATTATTATTATTATTATTATTTCTGTCGAAGAGCGGTAGGTGGAATGGGGAGGAAGTGTCGGTGTTGTCGGAGTAATCTTCTCGGACAACGGCTCGGGCTGAGGTAAGGAGCAGCGGGAGGAAAGGGAGCGGGTCTAGTCGCATCCTTCGTCACGAGAAGGGAGAGAGGCCCGCGAGAGCTTGCTGGGTGATATATAAAATGTGTAGATGAATGTGAAGGAGGGATGCGCCGTAGGTGTGTGGTTCATGTGCACTTCAAATTGGAGTGAAATTCTCTATCCTTCATGTCAGCTTTTATAATATGTAGACAATTCCCAAACCCCTAAAAATTGAAAGCAGGGCGAAAAGTGAACAGCGACATTCACATATTTCGGCGGAGATGAATACAATGCGATTCAATTGATTTGCGAGGGCGATGTAAACAAAAGGAAAAAAGCCCATATACCAGATGTTTGACAGCACACGCTTGCCAAGATGTAGGTAGCCTGGCAACTCAATCTATATTATCATCAAAATCATCAATGAAAGATGAGTATGCAGTTGACATAAGTGATAAAAATTAAATTAAAAGTAGAAATCAAGATAAAATAAAAGAAGCATGATCTGGATATGTTCTCCAGAACCGAAAACCTGGCTCCCCCACAAACTGCCCAACCCGACTCTCATGACGATGCCACGGCAACCAGCGCCAAGTTCCAACAAGTCCCAGCAGCCGCTCGATATTCCAACCAACCATTGGTCTGGTCAACTTCTCTCTTGTTGGAACACGGCTTTTTTAATTTTTTTTTTAATTTTTTGATCACGTGGAGCAATTCACTGGGATAAGTTCACTTATCATGGGAGTTCATCACAGGAAAACAACCTCATGCTCAACATACATCATGACATATTTCTGCCTCTTTGGGTTAGGACATTCGCTAAGACTATCATGTCACTGAAGGAATTCACATTCGCCTCAGCCTGCTAAGATTCACTGTAGTCATGGCATAGTTAACCCCTATCCCCTTGTTGGCGATATCAAGCTAACAGGACTGTAATTCACGCAGAATTGAGGACCTTCAAATGAGCTTGGATTTGAAATACTGGAAAAATCTTAGCACCCAAATGAAAGGCTATTCTACCTGCATATGTACGTCACCTTCGTCGTCGGAAGACATATTCCGCACTTGGTTTTGGGGGGGTTATCTGGAATATGTCTAAACCTCGCATAATCTGAAAGTTTGCCATCATCCACTGAATGATACCCGTCCTACCGCGATTGCAGCGGAAGTTGCTGGGTCTCGATTTTTAGAAGTTTCAGAGTTAGCCCCTCACATGCAAACATTGCAAGTTGCCGGGCAATCTCGAGAACGTGGGAAACGGTCGCAATGAACTGGTGTGGTCGGCAGAACAACAAACGAAGGAATATCTCACGGAGAACATAACACATATATACCCATTACGCAAGCTTGCTTGCATGGAGGTACAATATGTTGGCTAGTTAAATGGAAACATCAGTCATGTCTTTTTTTTTTTTTTTTTTTTTTTTTCCTGAGCGGATTGAATGGATTTCGGGTTCATCTTTGCACGCTACCGCTGGGTGTCACAGGTGGGAATTGTAATGTCAGATGCCAAACAGTATTCAGAGCTTGCAAAAACAGACAAAGATGTTAAATGAATCTAATTATGATGTCTCTCCTCGCGAATTTAAAGTAGGTTGCATTCCTGCGAGCTTATCTGAAGATGGGGTTCGACGTACTATTTTCGACTTCTGTTTTACACACTTTTGCCTTTCGTATTATCGTCCAGCACTGCAACATTGATGCCATGGTAGTAATATTCCCTGATCTCGCAAACTATGGACGACAGTACAGACGAGTTGATCCGCCCCGAAGATTTTCCCCTTCCAAATACCTCCCAGGAGTCCCTACGCTCGCAGGAGTTAACAAGTTGGAACGTCACTCCGCCTATCCCTCCAGTTGTTGATGAAATGCACCAACTTGCATCTCTGTTATCGCTCGTCACTAGGCTCATCCGACTTTTCAAAGGGACTGGAGAACCGTATTGCTCCTTTTCCCATTGGCAATAGTAGCTTTTGTTAGCACCCTGGATGCGACCAGTTTGTCCGTTGCTCTGCTGGTGAATATAGTAGCGCTCATTCTAAAACGTTCCGAACATGGTTGAGATGCTGAACCTTGCTTTCCCCTAGTTCATCGCTTGAGAATTTAATTTAGTACCTTCCAGGCATTCGGGCGGGAATATCCTTTCTTCTCACGGCCGTCTTATTTCACCCAATACACAGGGAGCTCTCTGACATTTTCGGGAAAAAAGAGATTCATTATATGTGTCTCCTATATTTTTGCACGGGCGCCATCATTGTCGGCTTTTCAAGAAACATAGACACCTTCAACGTGGGGTCGGGCTCTCCAGGGAATTGGTGGAGGCAGTCTCGAGACCCTTTCCGAGATCATTCTCAGAGACATCACCACACCAGCAGAGCGTCCTGTTGCCCTAAGCATTCTTAGCTTTATCTGGGCAGGCGGTTTCGCATTTGGTCCTCTGATCGGAGCATCGTTCGCACAGCAAGCGACATGGCGTTGGATTGCCTGGATCAACCTGCCTCTCCCTGGCAATTCCCACCTTTCTGGTCCCAACATCCGGCTTGCTTAAAAAGCCAAAAGTGCCACTCCGACCCCGACTTACTCAAATCGACTGGTTTGGAATTGGCATACTTATTCCATCTCTCACTCTTCTCGCTTTCGCCATGACTTAGGGCAGTACGCTATACCAATGGTGCTTAACCGCAAGCGTTGCCTATCTAGCCTTAGGTATTCACTTCCTCGCCACGTTTGTTATTCGAGAAGCCCATGCCCGCAAACCTATATTTCCTTCCTGGCTTTTCGCGGACAGGTCAGAAGGCTCTTCAAGTTTATTTGGAGCTTTTATCCATGGCACAGTTCCTCCTCTCCGTCGTACTTTTCATCCCGATCTACTTTGAAAGTTTCTTGCAGCTGGAGCCTGTTCCTGTATCTATAGACATGCTGCCACTATGTACCATTATCTCATTAAGTGCTCTAGTAACCGCCTTCGGAGACTGGTACTCAAATCGCTACTCTGGCCCATATGGGCTGGTTGGTTCCTTACCAACAGCAGGTACCGGCCTCTTAACACTATTCAACCGCAAAGCCAGTAGGTCCAGGCGGCCGGGTCTCCAAACCAGTGAGGCCATGGGTCTAGGAATAATATTCCCTACTTTGATCATCTCGCTTCAGATGCGATCCGATGGTGAGCAGGCCGAAGACATGTTGGGAATTTTTTTTTTTTTTTCCCCCGCCAGCTAGGGGCGGTCAGTGGCGTTGCGCTTTGTTCGGGGATGTTTTCGAACACATTTTCGGCTGAAGTTGCAGAAAGAGAACCGCTTCCTAGAGGGCTTTCCCTATCTAGTGATGGAAATTCAGCGCTGGCTCTTATCCCATTGCTCAAGAAACTGGATATTTCTGTGCATGATACTTGAGGTTTATGAGCACACAACGAGAGTGGTATGAATTGCTAATGGTCGCTAGTGGATTGGGTTTATTGTCCTGTACCTTGTTCGTGAGTTGAGTGTGGACAGGGGAGAGATCGACAACCAGTCATTTTATTTCAGTAATGTGGGGTAAAAAAGCTGTTTCTTTCCTCACTTTCCGATATTCAGCATATTTAATATCTGAAATATTTAACGTGTGATATTTTCTACACTGCATCTGGTAACCATTATATATATATTTGCAACTATCCTCATGAATATAGTGGCATATGTTGCACTTATTTTGGCGCATGCTAATTCTCATTTAATCGTGTCAGTAATTTTTGGGAGGGGAGCAGAGTAGTAGTTGCACAAGAGGCTTAAGGATAAAATTCAATTGATTTGTTGCCTATTATAAGGACATTGTTGGGGGCCAGTCCTAGCGCTGTGAAAAGCAGACGGGAGACCTGTGGTCAAAATGCCGGTGACTAAATCAAGTGAGCCAGAGTCATAGAGAGACGACCAACTTAACAGATTCATCTAATTTAATCCGGTTGTCTGTGCTTGTGACGGAGAGAGATCAGTCCATATAGCCAGTATCATTCCAATGGGTGAGACCATAGGTGACAAGATCAGTCATAAGTCTGCCTCCCGCAGAGACTTCATGGTAGGAGCTGGAATCCTCCACGCCATCACACCCACCAGCCTCCTCGCTACAGTCTTTCTCTCCCCCACTACAAACACCTACAATGGTGGGCTTCCCATCGATATATTCCCACATAGGGCCTCCAGACCACCCTGGTGATGCAAATACTTTTGTCTCCAACTCTTTCCCAAGCCGTCCATGGTAATCAACATCAATGAGGCTGATATTTGACACAAGCATCTGCTCATTCCCCTGAAAGGCATCACTCGGATATCCGGAACTCCTCCATTGCTGGTTCATATAAAAATGCGCATCCTTCCTCCACTTTGTACCCATCCACCCAGTCCGGTCGCCAAGCGGTTCGCAGAGATGGCAGATAACGTAGTCAATCCCGGTGACGTTAAAGATATTTTCCACTCCTCGGCAACGCGACACGTATGAGCTGCCATATGGCTCATAGCCATTGCCATAACCTGGTGCGAATTTCATCCATCGATCTTTACCGTAGCCCCACGGAAAACAATGGCTCGCTGTGAGCATGAGATTCCTCCCAACCAATGATCCTGTACACCACCCTCCTCTGTCTCCTTTAAAACGCACGAAGGATACTCTCCCGATCGTGTTCCAGGGATAGGTTGTAAGATTCAAGACTTGGTCGCGATAGTATAGGCCTGTATTGTTAGGATTGAGGGTCGAAAGAATATCGGCATTTTCGGCAGCCCACGAAACTAGGATAGGATCGTCCACCCCGGCAGGGGGTTGGATCGGGCTGTATCCTAGCGTAGCTCCAGAATCTGCATCCAGAGCAGTGGTGTCCGCGGTTCTATTGACAATATCCCAAAATGATAAGCTCGTAACACTGTCCAAATCGATCTGTTTCAAATCATCGGAAACGAGGATTGGAATAGTGAAAGGCCCTCCGCACACTGTTTTGGAGTCCTTTAAGAGCGGTATGGCTGGAGCTGGGGTAAAAATAATAAGAAAGGTGAAGAGAGTGATGCGCCAACAGCCATGCATTGTACGCTTAAAAGGTGATATGCGATGGTTAACAAGGAACGAACGGAACAGGCGTCCACATCGCAACTGATAGAAGCTGAGTAGGTTAACAGTGGCATATTTTGAATAATAAATGGGTACACGCAATGTTCGTCCAGCAGCTTAGGTTCATAGCTGCAATCGAGTTTTCAATGCTCACTAGGGGATGAGAACAATATTGCACTTTCTTGGTTCGACGAACAGCAAAGCAGGCTATGCCGTCGCAGTGCTTTGGGGGTAACAGATATCCATAGTTCTTACCCGTTTCCCCCTCTCCAACGTTAAAGCATGTTTTATGTGCTTGTCGTCTTGCTGACGAGTGGGCTGTTTAGCTCAGGACATCTGAAGGTGGCTGTACCAGTGATCTGAAATACCGGACATACACGCCAGATGACGATAGAAGCAGAGGAAATCTAGTAAAAGAGAAGAAAATTGGTAAACAGAGATAAAAGTCCACCTGCATCTTCGAAGACTACCTAAATAGTCAGGTATGGAGGGTTATTGTGTGTAAAATGGATCTGCACCCTTTGCGGATGACACTGTTGTACATGCAGAATAGGGGGGATTAATGGTGGAAAGAGAATATACAAGAAATGGGCATGTTTTGGACTCCCGTTTCATACCTGTAAAAATCAATTAGTTAGCCAAAAGTTTCATGATGTAACTAGGTCGATCAATCCCTTGCGCCCAAACGAAAAGAAAACTGATCAACCTTGCCATGTTTCTCTGCGGACCTGAACTTTGGGACGCCTACAATTCCCAACATCCGGCGCACCCGGCAACTATGTTCTATGGCATGAAATCCACTGCCTTTCACGATGGAGCCCAAAATTACCCGCAACGCTTTAACCTTAAAATCACAGCAGCGGAATGGCCCAACAACCAGAGGGAACGCTTGGTATCTCTCTCTACAAAGCGACTCACCCTGACATCGTATAAACACCTATGATCCAGTGGGCCCTTAACGAAACTCCTGGCCCCATCCATGTTCAGCACGATGGAAACACCGGGGTTGACCACGGCCCCAACTCAAGAAGATCCCCAACCTCAGCCTTAGAGATGCCCTCTACTGCGAAGCAATGTTCCTCTACCTATCACCCTGTCTCCAGCCCTAGACACCGGCGCCTCAGATGGTATAACTGTCACGGCCACGGTCATAGCCGTAGTTCCTGGCAAATGCACACCCTCTCATAAACCCCACAGATCCCATCCCCGCCAGGGAATAAGCATCGGAAACTCGAGCACCAATAAGTTCGTAAATAGGTGTTGTGGTCCGGTGCGTTTCCAGATGGCATTTTGATGTTATTTCCAATGTACATAGGCCATGCAATTTTGAGGATGTTAAACTTGATACAAATTTGCCTCCAACATTTTCTGAAGTTTTCATTACATTCATTAACCGTCTCCTGAGAAACACTTTCATGCTTGCTTTCTGATCGTCTTGTGTTTATATAAACTGATAGTAAGAAAGTGGAGAGGGCGTGGCAAAAATCAGTTTAATATCTTAATAGAGTTTTTAGTGAGGAGCGAGTTTCAATGAAGGTAACAGAAAAGTTGCAATGTGCTGCAGCTATCCCTTGAAGTCAGAAAGATATCAGCGCTGCAATGACAAATCCCCTCAACTTTTGAAGCAGAATTTGATGTTAGCTCTTTGCTGGAATTCTCTTCTTTTTTCTTAACTTAAAAAATGAAACAAAGCATATTTGTTGGGAAGAGCCTCAGTTGATGATGAGTCAACACAACAGTTACCTAGTTAGTTACCTAGGTAGCAACAACCATTCACACAATGTGTTGTTTTCAAATTTTTGTTTTCAAGAATACACCATCCCAACTTCTTAAAAATTCTAGGTGATCAAGGTGAGAGGAAACATATCATCATATGAAAATTCCTTGCACATTCTCAGTTTCCATTGTCTACATGCCCCACAAGCGTACAGCCTTTGATTATGTTTAAAAAGAAACCAACTGTAAGGAGTTCCCTGTTATCAGTGACCCGCTCCACCCTGCATCATTGAGATGGATAACGCGTCAGTTTTTACTAACCAAAATCCTCAGTTCAAACCCCTCGCCCCCCTCCGCACTTCCGACCGACGGAAGATAGCGGACCAAATTATCCAACAATATAACATCGAAATCCCTCTAACATCTGCACCTTCAAACGACGGGCAGTCAGAAACTTCACAAAATGAAGCCGGAACTAGCCTCACCGCTCTTCGCAAATCTCTTCTCCCGGATAATACCATGTCTGGACGTTTTACAACTACAGCAGGACCCGATTTGAAACCCGTCTTGGGCACTATCTACGTAGGTTCGCATCCCGATGCCGATGAACGGATCCTATGGGTGCGGCCTGAACAGGGCGCGGGCTCAGATGGCCGCTTGTATCCCACGGTATATACATTATGGCATCACCCACAGCTCATCCCCCTATTACATACCCCCGGTTTGGTGATGAATAAGCTGTATGGGGGCGCAGACCTTATGACCCCGGGGTTGGCTAATGGGCCGCCGTTCGCCAAGGGGGCGGTAAAAGGAGCGATTGTTGCTGTGGCGAGTTTGGAGAAACCCAGCGTACCAACATTCGTTGGTGTTTGCGAAATCGATGTGGCAGGGTTGGAGCAGGTGCAAGGTGCGAAGGGTCATGCCGTCAGTGGGGTAACGTGGGAGGGAGATGAGCTCTGGAGCTGGGGTAACATGGGTCGACCAGGCCAGCCGTCTCCAGATCAAATAGATGGTTGGCTTCCTGGTGCTAATGAAGTGGGGAAGGATCTTGAAGAATTAACGCTAGAAGATGCAGATAAGAATGGAATCGATGCTGAAGGTGAAGGGGATGGTGGTGGTGTTTGGTTGGGTGGCGCGAAAGGCGAGGGAGAGGGCTCAGATCCAGACGAGCAATTGCCGGAACCCACTACTGAAGGTATCTTTCTTAGCTCCCAATTTCAGTTTCTGGTATCGGATTTGCAAATCTAACTGGAATACAGAGATTGACACGGCATTTCAAAATGCTTTTCTCTATGGCCTTTATCAACACAAGGTTGATAACCCATCCGCCTCTCATTACGGGTTATCATTCCCTATCCAACCATCGTTTTTGATAGCCAACCTCGTAACCCCATTCCTTCCAATCCATTCAGCTCAACAAGCTCAATTCTATAATATCAAGAAGACTTCCTGGAAAAATGTGAAGAAGTTTATCAAGCACCTAGATAAAGAGGGGCTGGCGAAGGCTAAAGATCGCAATGGCGGCGAAACAGTGCTCTTGGACGTCGATTTTGACAATGCCCGAGTCGTCAACTTCGTCCCTTACAAACTCCCAAAAAAGAGTAGCTCTGATAGCACCGTCAAATCCACCGACAAAAGCAAGACTGTTTCATTAGGTGGAAACAGCAAAGATCACGCAGTGGGCCAATCATTCACGGTGAAAACTCTCTATCGGCCAAGCGGAAAACTTATTCCCGTCTTATTTCCGCCTCTGTCGAACAGTGATATTAACAATTATTACACGCCTTCTGCTGTCTCTAAACAACTCAACGATTATCTGACAGCCCAAGACCCTCCCATCATATCCCCAACAAATCCACACATTATATCACTCAACCCATTCATCAGCAACACCATTCTATCCTCTTCGGTCGAGGATCTGGCTATTCTGAAACGAGGCACCATCCAGCGTGATGGAATTCTTCGACGCCTCCTTGAAAACCCTTATCTTTGTGCGCCTTATTACGCCATGCTGAAGCCTGACCAAACGCTCCACGACGTAAAACTGAAGGCCGGACCCGGTCCAAAAGTCACCGTGACCATCGAACATCGTGCGGGTTCGAAGGTAACCACAAAGATAACAGGACTAGAGGAGTTCGGCGCCACGCCGCAGCTGTTGGCGGACGAGCTGCAGAAGAGATGTTCGAGTAGTACAAGCGTTTCGCAAGCTGTGGGAGCGGCTAAGGGAATGATGAGCGTGTTGGTTCAGGGTGATCATCGAACGCTCGTTAAAACTGCTTTAGCAAGTCGGGGGGTCAAGTCTCAGTGGATAGAGGTTGTAGATAAATCTAAGAAGAAGGGCGGGAAAGGGAAGTGAGGGTTTCTAGTATCCCTTTGAAAGGGCAAAATCTCTACACACGAATATATGAAGCTCTTCTGCATATTACACCCATACACTGATGGTTGTTTTGGAGTCCTAGGAATACATTCTAGATTCTAAGATTTGGCAGGGTAAAGCTAACTTTATGATCTCCAAACCTTTCACATTGCCATTGTGCCAGATAGTCCGGGTTAGTTTGGTATCATCATATCACAATGAATAAATGAAATTGGAGAAGCCTCAGTCCTAGAAATGCCCCTTAAGAATCCCCTATTTCCAACAACCGTGGACGCAACTCAGAATCGCGTGATATGAATTAATGATGTCCAGTATAAATTCATGTTTCTGAATATGTACAACGTATGGTTTATGTTCAAAGAACGTAACCAAATCTTGTTCGTTCTCTGTAAATAAATTGATCCTGCTCCTCGAGCTCATTCCCTTGAGTGAAAACCCTCTCATCATTCTTTTCCCTTCCCCTCACCTGTTTGCAGAAATGCCACACGAAGCCAATGCGGCTTCACGCTCATTTCGAGCGCGAGCGAAAGTGTTGACCCTTATTAATTTTTGTATGGGGCTGCTCTAAATCCGCTAATATTTGCTTTTACAAGATGAAATCTGCCGTCTCAGTGCGGATACGGTCCGGATAGTTTTATGAAGTTCTCCAAGGGAATGAAGGGAATGCTTTGCGATCCACCAGTCTTCCGGGCTCATGGGCTCTGAATCCATTCTTCTGGCTACTTGCCGTATCCCATACCCAGTAAACAAGGAGACGCGAAATACAAAGAGCCAGCAGCGCCATGGATTCCAATGATAGTCAGAGGTATGGTTTTTCGCGAAGTGTATTGTGCAGTTAAGAGTAAGTCATTGGCACACTAGCCATATTCCAAAAGATCAGAAGAACCCCCAGTTTCTCAAAGTACATTTCCCTGAAACTAAATGTTAGCCGTCAAAACTACAGAAAAATTGGCATGCTAGCACGGAGAGAATACCAGCTGGTGATAATGAGTTCCTGGCCCTTAGAGCAGGCATTCACGTAAATGAAATGCGCCATGAGCAGGAATCCGAGTTCTCTAATAACATAACCAAACTCCTCCAACTGCCTTTATGAGGCACTCAGGGGGGAAAAGGGAAGAGGAAGTACCGTGGAATGCGGACTTGGAGAAAATCTTGAAATCCAACAATCCAAAAATCTGTGGATTGAGTTCTGCTCCCATGGGAAAAGTAATTAATAAAAGAAGTCACAGAGAGCCGAGAAGTAGTAGTCTAGCTGCTTGCCCCCTCAATATGCGGGTAGTCGCTGTCCCTTTCCATACACGCTGGGGAGAAGGTAGCCAGTCCCTTCCAGACCGATGAGTGTCCATTATATACCCCAGGCTTTGCGGTGTGGGAAAGCATGGGTACATGTAAGGTGGGCGAGGTGCGTTAGAAACTCCCTAAAGCTTTGTCCTTCTGGGGTTGGAAATTGACCCACCGCAGAGCATGGCTCCGATGTACATGTGGTACATGATGGTCAGAGACCCCAGAATTATGGCACTGGCGCCGAATGATACGCCTCCGAATTCAACTCGGAATCATCATTTGCGTTGGACTCGAATGCCTCTTTGGTTTTTGGCATCCCTACCAAACGCATGTCGTTGTTAGTTTCGCGATTCATCACATTTTTACAATGCTGAAGCTTCTCTTGATATCATGTAAAAAATTATTATACGAAGGCACCTATCGTGCCGGGCAGTAGGTAGATGAAAGATTTAAAAGGATTGTTAAAACGCACACTGAGCCTCTTCCGACGCCCTCAATACAACGACACGCGGGGTTGTTTTTCTTTTGCCAATTTTGAACCAGGGAGCACAACACGCCTATCAGCATTTTCAACAAAGTAATAGCCTCTTTATATCGACCTCAGACTATAACTTTATGAAGCCCTAGGTTCATCCTTATCTACTGCTAACCTGTCGCAGGATTCCGTGGCCCGGAAACAAATCTCCAAGCTCCGTCATAACTGTTAAATCAACAGCACCCCGTCATCAAGTTGAGTCCGCCGCGATTCTGTTTGCCGTGGACTCCGTGGGCTTTTCTACGGCGGAGAAAACTTGCAGAAATGGTAATGTTATTTCAACAGCGAACGATAAAAAAGACTTTATCGAAGAAAACATGCAGTTTTCAGGCAAATCGTACATATTTATGGCTCAACGTCGACAAAGGGTGAATATCCAGGAAGCTGATAAGCCTTTGGCAAGGATACAAGCGGAATAGAACTCGTCAACAAATCCAACATTAAACTCTTCAATTCCAGAGGGATGGAGATATCAAAACACGGTCCTTGTTAGTAATTGTTAAGCCATTATCGTGGAAAGCTCGTGTTTGACAAGATCGTCATTACCCGCTTTCAATCCAGACTGTTGGGATGATTCCACAACCGCGAGGGGGAACTTGGGTTTCAACTCTAGGTTACCTGCAGATTTTGAGGTAACTAGCGAACTGTTCAAAAGAATGCATGCAGCCCTCCAAAATTTTATCAAACCACTGAGCGATAAATTAGAGTGATCGGATGGAAATATTGGAGGACTTCTGCTCAGAAGAACGGATTGGTAACAATGAGGCTGTTGTCCGTCGGCTGAAATTTATGACGCAACGCCGGAGGCCACAGACTTAATCACGACTCGATATAACGTCGACAACAGTCATGAGACAACACTCGGTACGTGCGCCAAAGAAGCCTTCAGGGGGAATTCTCTGTCCACTGGCAACTTTCATCCCCACCAAATTTGCTTTTCGTTGGGTGATTGGCAGAACTCTGGAAACCCAAAACAGCCAAGGCGACAACTATTGTTCACGAAAAACAATGTGCTCCCAAACGGCGAGCTGCGTTTAATATCAAACTAGCATCGATCTGTTTGACATTTGATACGTGGGCAAGGGACCGCCACGCTTAATTCATTGGACTTAGGAGCACCGGGTGGACGAGAGGAAACCGCGAAAAACTCTTCGCTCGGGGAAATCTCCGCTTCTAGAAGAAAAAAAGAAAAGAAGAGCATTATTAAATGAGTCAGGGACCCTAGATGGAGTAAGGTCTTTCTAGGATTTTTCGTATGGACAACGATGTGCACTTCAGCCATGACCTGTAATTCGACAACTTGCCGGTGTGAAAAGAGCCGAGCTGGAAAACAACGGGATTGGCATTCATTGAAGTGATAATATATTGCATGGGACCTAGAAAGGGCTTTAAATCATATAGAAAACTTGCGAGCCTCAGAACAGAGTCAATTAATCATGATAAAACATAATCTGAGAAATGCACCGCGGTAAACATTGTTGGAATCATATTGATGTTAAAATCCTTCCTCTAGAAATCAGCCGCAATGGAAGATCGGTCAATATCCAGCCGTAATACCATATAATGTTTTGGCGGCCCATTTTTGAGAGGAAAACGCAGTCTCTCAAGAGGTCCAAGCAACAGATTTGTAAAGCCGGAATTGAATGTCTTCGAACTTCCAAGAAGACGAAACCCCTGAGTGGTCACTTCAGTCTCACACTTGCAAGTTGCTGTCTTGTAACTAAGAGGAAATTTAGGCTGAGATATCTCAATTTTCAGCAGTGATATCAACGCCTCTACCTCGGTCCCGCGTTCTGCTCTCGTCAAATAGATATTCTGCCTACGGAGCGATCGAGGAGAGCTGAGGCGAAACGACAGCCGGCATCTGATGTAACCATATTCCGCACTTCGTCAGACTTGCTGAACTATTCTAGTGTTTTCTTTCGTTAGCGGAGCACTACGCTGCTAAGTGTGTAACTAGTTAACTAGTTATCTAGTTAGAGATTCGATGCTTACCTAGAAATGATATGGCGCCTCGCAGCAATATTCCACTTGCGCCCTCGCGCTAAGTCTCAGCTCGTGGTTAATTTTTTGTGATCAGTCAAAAAAAAAAAAAAAAAAAAAAAAAGAAAAAGAAAAAGAAATAAAACCGGTCAAAATGCCAAACTCCAAAATTGAAATTGGTCGTCATTGTTAACTCTGAGAACTGGAAGGCTATCTCGACCACCACGTGCTTCATGTGAAGGGCACTTATCAACTTATTTTATCTTGTTTCATTTCTTTTGCCTTTGCTGCATGCATTCCTTTGCAAGGCTTCGACGTACAGAAATACTAAAATAAGGGGCAAGGTTAAATTACTGCCAATCGTGTCTGGCCGTAACTATCGAAGATGCTCCTCCTACGAGCCAAAGATTTGATATCGATCATGTTCGCCTTTGGCGGTTTCTGCTTATCCTGCAACTTTGGTGGCAAGTTTCAAATCCATGGATGCTTTCGTTGATGAAGGCATGCGAAACACCATTGTCATTGAGCATGGCACGGACTGCATGGCTGTTTGTTGTGGCAGATAAATGCACAGTGACGAGCGATTCTAAGGATTAATAGATTTCCACCGGTAGAAATCCTCTAGTTCAGCCAATGAGGACGATTTGGTCTTCAGTTTCTCTCGATGTTGATATTGTTGGTTTCTTGAGGCTTATGCGGATATTGGGGCATCCGAAGACCTGGATGCTGATTCGTATCCATGGAGGATTCCTTTCTCCAAATCGGTCCACTCTGGTAATAATAAGCTCAAGTCAAAACCTCTATTCCTACAAAACACTGCAGCTTGGCCTGAAAGTCGACATAACAAAGGCCCAATTGTTAAACAATTGCCATTCCAAAGGGAGATCTACACCTCGCTATGCCGCATGGCACAGAAGAAGGAACCCAAGCTTGAGAGAATTTTCCCGGTTGCCAGTGTTTGCCGTTGGTTGATGTATTTCGGTTTTAACCACACTATCTGTGGACATCTCAGATGGGCCAGCGGCTCAGACCCAGTTCCTTAACCAGCCCCGATAAAGTCCCGCTGCTACGGCCATAATATGGAGGAGCCATGTACCAAATCCGTAAGCACGGCGGCAGTCGCTTTTCCTCGCCTAACGAAAGTATCAAGGATCTGTGCTGTCGATCGGCAATGATACCAAAGGAGAATTGCCTATCAGCCAGCGGCACGCCCTGTTGGCAAACACGATAATTACCCCGGAATAATGGGATTTCAGGAAAGTTCCCTTTGCGCCTGACGAATCAGCCTCAAGTTCTGGAATCGCTGCAAATTTTCTGTCTGTGGCTATTAGCGCCAATAACTCAGAAGAGTTCGCAAGCTTTCTATAACGGCTTTGCAACGATGTCCGATTTCGATAAAAGCTGAGTACCCATGAGAGAAAGGAAAGGTGACGTGGACCGCTTAGTTTTACAACTGTTGCTGACTTTACAAAGCCGCAATCCTGTCTCCGCTGAGAATGAGGCACAATCAGCATGCTTTTCCTGCCATGGGTTTTTATGATTCTTCAGGGTTTTATTGCAAATCCAGATACCATATTGGTTAAACCGAGGCGGTGAGCTCAGAGGGGCTTACTGTGCCTCTTCTCCAGATCAGATAAACCAGGTTGATGTATTCCGACAACCACAGCGTCGGATCAGTTCCTTTTGCAATCCAACAATTCTTTCCCTCGCTTTGAAGACCCGAATCAATCCAGGTTTAAAGTCGCAGGGTTACCCGACGGTGAGGACCAAAAGAGAAAATCAAGAGAATCACTCAACAAACATAACCATAAACATATCCACATACATTCCCGCTCAGGGATGTTTTGAGTGGAGAAATGTGGGTTCGTTCTAAGCTGAAAATCAACCAGCGGCTCAAGGAGGACGTTTGAATATCTCCGGTTAAAATCAAGAATGAACCGGAACATAGATAAAACCTCCAACACTGGGTATGTGAGCAAAGGGGCTACCTCCCACGACGGACCTGATGGATGTAAAAAGCGTCATCAACATCTGGAAAACCGCCAGATACCCTGAGACAATTTGTACGTGATGAACTGACCCTTTTGGCGGAGGGCTATTCAACAAACCAAGTTACCGACAGCAAACTCCAAACCATAGAAAGCGCAATTTTTGTCACCAATGTCAGCTCAAACTTTTGATTCGGCCTAATAAGCAAAGGTGCATGGTTTGTTAAAATTCCAATAAACTTTTTCTTTCTTTTTTTTCTTCCAAATAGATGAAAATAGGAAGGTCGCCTGCGTATCTCTGTCAACGTCAGTGTGCTGATCACGGACCAGTAATGTTCTCACAAGGCAAATCCATGTCTATCAGAGGAAGACCCTGTCAATTTCTAGTAGTGACACATATACACATAGTGCTTTAGGCCAGTTGATCCTCAAGAAAGTCGTCCTCATTCTAATGAAAGGGTTTGGTGTCACACTTCAGGGAGAGCGAGAGCGAGAGCAAGAGAGTGAGAGGCAGAATCCGACTGAAGCTCCCTGCATACTCCAATGTCGAATGGCTTGCCCCGCTGACAGTTACACACCAGGTCATTTTCGCCAGACGACTGACATTGCTTATACATTTGTTGATTTTAATGCAGTGCACTGAAGAATTGATGCATGGATTAAGGCAAATAAATTGACAAAGGTAGAGGGGGCCTGTGAGAGTTATTTTTTTTAGTGGTAGAAAAATTGATTTTTTTGATAGCCCTTGATTTTCTTGCTTTTTATTTTTTATTTTATGTTGAGATATATAAATGACGAAGCAAAATGAAAATGGGCGGAAATATCAAGGTAGAAAAGGGAAGAAGTGACTGGTGGAATTGAATTGGACTGTGTTTAGCAGGTTGAAATTGTCCTCTGGTTACTCTCTCCGTCGTTGACTTTCCGGCGTCCGACAGAGTGAAAGAAAGTTATGCATGCATCCATTTACATCTCCACGGCGAGAGAGCTACATGGCACCAAGTAATCACCTGGTCTCTCAACATGTCCACCTTCGTCACTCACCCACCAGTGAACATCGCATGGAGGCTTCATTGGATGACGAACCAACTGCCGATTCTCCAGGAACAAATACCGTGCCACCAAATGGCCGCTTGCCCCACCACTGCCAGAAGTTGGGATCCATTTTAACAGTCGTGCATCGGATGTATGTACTGTGCAGATGACCATAGGGAGTGAAATGGTATTGACATTGAAGAGGGGTTGTGAAAAGGCAAAAGCGTGGTTCAGATTCGCCTACAAAATGGCTTCTGTCAAGGAGCATGTCATGTGCGTCAGAGGCTTGAAACGCCTTTCGCACTCACGAAGGCGGGTTTTTTTCCCCCCAGTTTGGGCAGATAGATGGATAACATATACGCTTTGAATCGAAGGTAAAATCTTGCTATCTGAGTTTATAAAAGTAGTCTAGAAGCTCGACGGAGGGTTTTGGCGAAATAATGAGATCCATGAGGGGGTGGTGGACATGCGTATCCTTTCGTTGAGGCAGCTGCGGAGTTTGGTAGCGATAAATGGCGATCAGTTGTTTTGAGTTATGATAAGATTTGGAAGATGGTGAAATATTTCAACAGATGGCAAGGAGGAATGGAATGATTTGACAGATTTTGCCCTCCGTCGCAAGAGACTGAAAGAGAAACCATTAACCAATTCCGTCATCATATTTCTCCTATTCAGAAATAATATGCATAATGGCGCTGGTGCTTTATTGAAAATATAAAAGCATCTGTCGATACTCAATATGGAAAGAGAATGGAGTAGGGGTCCACGTTATCGATTCCTCCAGTGAGGGAGGACAAATGGTAATAACTCCGCAGAGCCCTGCTGCAAAGGCAAGGACTCCGGCGGCTACTTTCACCTCAGTCAATCGGACATGTTATCTATCGGGAGAGGACGTGATATGATTGATCTTATCTTGTTTGGAAATCCTTATGAGATGATGGACGGCTCGGCACCCTCCCGCCTATGTACCGTTGATACGTGTATGCAAAATGAAACATCTCTTGGTCGTCTACTGCGGCTAGGGAAAGCGGCATCATGCTCCTGCACATATTTCAATTTTCAACTGTCTGGCAGCTGTAGTGCGACCAGAAAGCGCACAAGAAAACATTGACATTTATTTCAACGGCTTCGTAAAACTGTGCCCAATGAGGGAGGGATGTTTGTGTGGTTTTCTGTGATGTCGCGATCGTGGCCACCCAGATACCTACCTAGGTACACATGATCGAAACCCTTGGGGAAGCAGGTTTCAGAAATTATGCTGTCAAGTACATAAGAACGGCGATCGAAGGCCGAAATGAAGAGATATGGGTGAAAGATGGAAGGGAGGGAGAGGCGCAACTTGATGGAACCGTTTCGGAGAAGGCTGGACCTATGAACGTCGGCTTATTCAGACCCTGAAGAAGCAAAGATCAAAAAGGCACACTAAAACCAAACCCAAAATAGAAAATAAAATTTCACGCAACAAAGAGAAGCTCGAAAAATGCCGCCAAAAAAGTCCAACCAAGAGAGAACTCTGCCGAATAATCGGTGATATTCATGGATTGTCCTTAGTGGCAGTTTGATCGAGCTGGTTGAGATTTATTACATTTTACTAGCGTACGATCTATCGTACTGGCTAGGAAAGCCAGTGCTGACCCATCCCCACCCCAGCAGTGATCACGGCCTGGTGGATTGGAGTGGAACTTTTAGCGGCTGGGCAGGCATGCGTGGATGCAGAGTGGCTGCAGCAGGGAGTTGGATTGCAGGTCGCTGTAAGCCTGTAACTGGCTTGCGGAGTCTAGCGCAGTGGGCCCCCCGGGGGGAGAGGGGGGGGAGGGCGTTACTTTGGTTACTTTCCCTTCCCCCCCCCAAGTTCTCCATTGCTAGTTTGCTCAGGAAGGCTAGTCCTTTTCGTCGGTGGCTGAACGATTATACTTGGTACTAGTAGATACTATTTGCAGGGAGGTTGGTGATACACCCGGTCGGCTTGGCCTGGGAGAAGCGAGAGCCGAGGGATGTGAAAATGGGCCCCGCAACGAATCAGAGTGGAAAGACAGAAGGCGTTGGTTGGACTGCGCGGGTGTGATAATCCGGAACACAGCCTAGCATTCCTGGCTGGATAGAGGCGAGAAAAGGACATCTGAGAGCGTGGCTTGTATTATTGAGGTGGTCCGGGGATTTTCTGCTATGGACTGCGTCAAGCGAGTTTAGCAAGTGGTATTTAATCGTCCCTTGTTCGGTGTTGGTCGTAATATGTGGTGGTTGAGACTTATCATTCATCCTGACCTGACGGGCGGACAAACACCAAATAATAATAATACCATTGGGGTCCAGAAGAAAGAAAAAAAAAATAAAATAAAATAAAATAGATGATGCAGATAGGGCAATATTGACTTTCACACATTCAAAGAGAATAAAAATTTTCCCTTCTTTTCTATTTAATATTAACATTGCCGTTGACCTCGTAGCCACTGTGATAGCGTGGAAAAGTTAAAGCAAGAAGAATTTGAGATAGTCGGCGACCATGCCGACAAGTGGACAGATGTTGGCATTGTGGACGCCGAGGGTTGCAGCAACCACCTGCAGGTGAAGGAGGGGCATTGATTTGCTGTGGCATTGTGATGTTGGACCCGAGGGTTTGGGAATAGGAATTTTGGGCAGACAATTGACCCAGTGGTTGAGTTGCTGGAAGAAAGAAAGATGAGACGGCGGAACGTGGTTGTGGGAAGAAGAAGAAGGGACTCACATCATATCCTGTGTTAATCCATACTTTATTGCTTTATTTTATTCATTTTCAATGTGGATATCAAGCATCATGAGTGATGGGCAATGAGACAAGGTTGGGGAATAATAAATAATATGGAGGAGGTTTTTCAACGAGCACGCAGGCGGCAGAGATTCAGGTAGCGATCGCTGATGAGATACATCATAATCCTCATGTCGACATCGTCTCGCTCTTTTCACAAAGCACTCCATAGTTACTGGGACGTACAGGACGTACAGGACGTACAGAACATACGGTCTAAAATACTAGACGCAAACTTGGGCGTGCTGGTGGAAAGGAGGGGAGAGGGGATGATGGGTTCGTTCCCGCCTTGCTGTGACTGGCCAGCACGCACTGCTGTCCAGCCTGTGCCCGTCCGTGTCTGGAGCTGCGAGGCGTCGCTGGTTGACGAATCGCGGGCTCTCTACACCACGAGTTCCCCGGGCCTGTCCCCCGGTTCAGGCGGTTTCTCCACCCACTTCCCCCCGCAGGGATTTCCCCCCTCCCTTCTCTCCCCCCCCTCCGTTCTCTCCCCCAACCAAAGTTCCCGCTAGCCTAGGACCTCTTAGACGTGGTCCCCGAAAAACTCACCAGTAGAGTTACCGCCGGCGCTTTACCTGGCGCCGCCATGTCGCTCGATCTCCTGTCGTCCTCCTGCTCTCTCCCTCCCCTTGCTCGCCTCTCGTTCCCGCTCTCTTCTTCTCTCTCCGTTCCCCTTCGACTCTTTCATTCTCTTCATTCTCTTCCCTCTTCCTCCTGTGTATGGAATCTATCCTTGTGTTGACAATAGTGACATACCAACTCGGACGGTCCCACCACACCATCCATTCTTGAGCTATCATCCAACTATCGTCAGCCTCATCAGCAGCAGCAGCAGCCATTATCGCTCTGGTTGAAATTGATCATGTTCGAGAATTAACACATCCACCTACCGTCTCTTATATCTATATCCCCCAATATTCCTTCTTGGCCCACTCGCTCGTTTCGATCACGAAGTTCACGCCCAACGTCGCTGCTTATGCAGTATTTGTGTCGCTGCTGATAATCCATTTTTCCCATTGACTGTCATTGGCACACCGACCCTTCTTCTTGCAGTCCATCACGCTTTTGAAACAATCTAGCTGCCTTATTCGTTGTCAGATTTGGTTATTATTTTGTGTGTTTTTCGTTGGTTTCACTGTACGTGAAGTGGTCCATATTCCTACTATATATCCTAGCGGTTTTCCAGTTTGCGAGGACATATTTGCGAGATTTGGAAATCCTAGGCACTTCCAGGATTCGCCTTGGTCTTATTCCCTTTCTCGTCGAATACGTAGGAAAGCAATTGTGTGCGTGTGTGTCTGGGTGGGTGCTGTTGCTTGAAGCATCTGACGACTGACCGGGTTATATATATATATATATATATATATTCTCAGCATATAGTTTGGCAATTCCTGAATATCGCCCGCCATGGCTACGAAATCTTCTATTCTACACCCTCCCAACGAGACCGAAAATAGTGTGTCTCGCGTCACCCGGGAGGGTAAAATGATTACCTACACCTTGACAGTCATTCAGCAGCCAGAACGTGCCAGAGCATGTGGTGCCGGAGCCAAATGTAAGTCGTGGGAGAAAAAATATGCAGATCAGGAAACCCAGTCGATGATATTTTCATTCTACTTGGATGCTGACCATTTATATCAGCTGCTGCGGATCGTCGACCAGTTGACCCACCTCCTGTGGTTCAACTGCGTATTTATGAATCGGATTTAAACGACCAACACAAGACCGATATCACTTTTGGCTATAACGCCAACTTTTTCTTGTTCGCGACCCTCGAATGGGCCCGTCCAATTGCTCATGGCAGAGTCCAGACTCAGACTCCTACTTGTGCAGCGTTGACAGGAGTTCCTGTTGCTGGCATTTCGTATCTAGATCGTCCACACCAGGCGGGATACTTCATTTTCCCGGACCTTTCTGTACGGCATGAGGGTCTCTACCGGTTGAACTTCAACCTCTACGAGGAGATGAAGAACCCCAAGGATGCAAGTAAAGGTGCCCCAATGATACAACCCCAGGGCTATCTGGCAGCACCCAACCCTTCAAAGCTCCGTTCGCCAAATCAATTTCTTGATTTCCGTTTGGTCGTTAAATCGATCCCCTTCACCGTTTACAGCGCGAAGAAATTCCCGGGTCTTGCAGAGAGTACTTCGTTGAGTCGCATCGTAGCCGAACAAGGCTGCCGTGTCAGGATCCGTCGTGATGTCCGCATGAGGCGCCGCGAGTCTAAGACCAGCAAGGCCTATGGTGGTTACGATGACAGACATATGACCCCCGATCCTTACCCAGGAACTCCCGTCGAACGGCCTCATTCGACGAGCCATGCCTCCGTGGATGACCACTACAGATACTCCGCAGGCCCTTCCCGTGTTCAACCGAATCCCGAATATGGCTATCACCCTTCTTACAAACAACACTCTCCAGTTCCAACTGCCCCGCCACATTTATACTTTGCTTTTGGCGCTAATCAAACACTATGCCATGGACCTCCGCCACCGACAGCCGCTCACCAAGCTCCACCCCCACAGGCCCCCTACCCTTCACCTCACCTTGGCTATGCCCACACACGCCAAGTCTCGGCAGGCTCACCAGAATATGACTCCCAGCAGCCAAAATATACCTCATACTCTCCTTCAACTCCTCATTCAGATGTCTACGACCAACGAAAGCCCAATATCCCTCTGACTCCGTCCATTGATACCCCGTCCAACCCACCACCTATGCCTTACGAACCACGCGTCGCAGATCCAAAACTATACATACCATCAACTCAACTCCACGCAGCATCTCCGCCATCTCTTCCATCGCCCTCCCAGACCAGACCAACTCCCGTCACCATGTCTCCAACCACACTCAACCCCATCTCCGTCGAAATGGACACGTCTGCCATCCTCCCCGCACCCGAACCCGAGAAAGTTTCGTACACCTCGATCCGCACTGATGGCCGATTGCTCTTCACCAACAAATCTGGCCCTTCGAAACGAACTCGCGATTCGTCAGACCAGGACGAGCCGCTGCGTAATGGGCAGCGACCTGCATCTAGCGACGACAAGTTGGGTGAGTTTGGCGAGACATCTGGTTCCGATGATGAGCTCATGAAATATCGACGAGCCGATGGGAGGATGATGGCCAAGCAGCGTGTGTTGATGTATTGTAACGGAAAACCGGTCCATGCTCTTCATTCTTTGCAATTGTTGCCTCGTGGGCCGGAATTGTTGTCTCGTGGGCCGGAATTGTGTGCTGTTGCGGAGTAAATAAGTCGACACGTTTCTTGGGGCAGAGGTGCGGGTGAGGATGGCTTCTTGCGGGCAGATATTTGCGGATCGGATCTATGATCTCAATTTCCTGTCTTTCTTCTGTCCCTGTTGGTACAAATGGGGCCGCTGAACCCCTCCTCTCTCCTGGTGACTGCAAAATGATTCCAACAACCAACAAACAAAACTGGTCTGTCCGTCAATCTTTTGATACATTGATAAAATTGACCTTCATCTTACCTGGCATCGTCTATTATCTCACATACCTTTTCTCCTTTTTAACCCCTTATTCCGGCTTGCGTTTTTGCGCTTTTGGATTTCCTTTTAATTATTTACCCCTAATCAGTTTTAGTCCATAGGTTCTCTTTTGCTTCTACCTTGATCATTGCATTCCCTCAAGGAAACTCTGGTGTTAATATTCTATGTTATTCACTTCTGTCGATTTGTCTTGTTTCCTTGGTTTGGATCTTGCGTGTCTGGAATTTCGTCGCCTCTCGCTGGAATTAGTCTACTACGCATGCATATCCACCAGCACGCGCGATACCTTTTTTTTTTTTTCTTTTTTTTCTTCTTTTTTTTTTTCTCTCTCATTATCATTTCAATTTGAAATCTAACAATTGTTTGGAGGTGGGTTGAGGAAGCAGATATATATTCATATTAAATTTCGGTTGATATTGCTGTGCTTTGGAGGAATTTCGATTTGAAAAGCCCCCCCCCCCCCCCCCCAAAAAAAAAAAAAAAAAGAAAAAAAGAAAAAAAGAAAAAGAAAAGAAAAGAAAAGAAAAAAATTGATCACTTGGACAAGAAAATGTGGGAGCAGAGGTGATTTAAAATGACCTTCAGAACTTAGCGACTTTCTTGTGTCTAAAAGTCCAAGCAGAAGATGTGTTGGATAGCGGGACAGCGGCACTAAATCGATTTCCTCAACCTTTTTTTTTTTTTTTTTTATCCCTCTCTGCTCCTGGGGATGTAAATGCTTGCCTTATTTTCATATATTTTCTGCCGTTCGTTTCTAAAGGTATATTCTATCGCTTTATTCGCTACCATATTTGTTTCTTCTTCCTGCTAGCTTAATTTTGGAAATCTTTCCTTGCCATGTTTTTGTCTGCTGTTTCTGTGTCATTTCTCAACTACTCTTGAACATCTTCTCCGTAACTTGCGTCACAATCTTTTCACTTTTTTTTCCTGTTCTTTGATCGTCTGTCATTGTTGATTTATTTAGCTCTATGCTTTTCCTTACTTTTCTGGCTTGATTTGATGAGTCTGTATGTAGGTGGGTTTGTATGCAGGAAGCAAGTTGTATTTGACGAGATTAATTCGAATTTGCTGATATTTTTTGTATATCTACCCCATATATACAGAATGAAATGAATTTTAAAAATAAAAATAAAACATATGACGAGGACTTTTCTATGTCGATACATTATTGAAGTTAAAGAGGCATTTATGAAAAGTCTTCATTGTTTTTGTATATTATAGTAAAACCCCCCCGCCTCGATCGGTTTGTCATTCCAAGGTTGGGAAATGAAGTTTATCCCTGCTTTGTTTGGGTTGAGCTCGAGAGAGACACTTTTATTTGGCAGCATGAGGAACTTTGATGTTCTTATTATTACTTGCTTTCTTTTCCTTTTCTTTCTTTCTCTTCTCTCTCTACCTTTTCCCTTCCTGAAGGAGATGTGCTATGCTACGTGCTACATACTTATAATTGGAATCAATTCATCATATCCAGGCTTAACACGCAGAAGTGGTACGTACAATCCCATAGGTATGTTCTGCTCCACTTGTGGAGTGCCCAGTTCACCTGATTCTTCCCCAAGTTGCCCACGGCAAAATACAGCATATGGATGGAGCGTGTTGAGTTCAGTCCAACCGCCAAATCTCAACTCTGTACTCCGTACCATCACGGTTTGTCAGCGGGCATGTATGGTGTCGAACAGCAAAAACAACAACGACAGTGACAATCACATTCACCATAGCAACCTCGCCTTTACTGACATGCAAATGTTCATACAGCTCAGTTGCTCTCCAAACTCCCAAGTTGATTTCTCCCTTCCAGTCCTCGACTGTAGTTGGAGAATATCACAAATCAAAACAAAAACAAAAACAAAAACAAAACGAACGAATCGAAACGAAACCAAGCTTAGAAAAAGCTCCCGAATAGCCTGACCTTGGTGTTGGCTCTACCCACTGCGGAGCCTTCGAGCCCTCGTCAGTGCGCCCGCCCTCTGGTTGGTTGGGTTGGTTACTCGGGCAGCTCGGAACGGATCCAACCAACCAACCTTGCTTGAAGACCCCCGCAAACAAACACAACTCAAAGCGACAAGCCGGAATAATTATTTATCGATTGCTTATTGCTCGGGGCTCCATCTTGCCAAGGGGGCTAATAATTAATATTTGATCATCTACTCCAGTCTCTTAATTAACTCCTTCAGCTGTGAGGTGAGGGAAAATTGAAAATTCATTTGCGTTCTTTGGTATTTCTGTTACGTGTCCCTGATTTCCTTTAACAATTTTTCTTTGCGACCGAGTCTTTATCTCTGCTTCCTTTTCCAAGTGTCTTGGTAGGTATTACCTGACCTCAAGCTGCGTTTTGAAGTTTCTTTCCAGTCTGCAAGTCAACTTGCTGGGGATGTTAGCTGACGTTGGACCATTTTGCTTTTGCTTTACAGGACTTCCTAGATATTTTATATCTGTTTTTTCTTCTCTTCTCTTTACTTTTTCTTTCTTTTCTTTGTTTTCGTTTTTTTCGTTTTTGCTGACCGCAATTTTGAATTTCTGAAAGAATCAGGAACAAAAACACAAGCCCAAAAGGTGCCAATCATCGCACATTTTCGGGGCAGGGCCACAGCTCACTATCTTGGTCTGGCTGCGAGTTGAGTGAGGGAAGTTGTTGTAGCTGCAGCAAGGAGTTGTTGGAGTTATTTTGTCCTTGAGCGTAGGCTGCATAACAAAGGCATTGATTGATATTCGTGTGCATTTTGCGCCTCTGCTGTTGAACCCAGCCAATCAAGTAGTCACAATAATGGCGAGGGAAAAGAAAAGGGACAGGAAATATCAGAAGAAAACAAAGACAAATCATTTTGCAGAACTGACGTTGGGGCAACAGCTGAAGGAGCAAACCCAGGAACAAACGACGGAGGTTCACCATTCCAAGCATAAGGCTGCTAAGGAATCTGTGAATGAACAGGTAGGTTTATTTTCTCAGTTTGCTTCGACCCCCTTCGTTTTATTCGTTTGCAACGGGGTTTACATTTCTTTCCCATGGTTGGCCCGAACCAAAACCAATCTTGCTCCATTGGAAGAGATCTGGGTAACCCAGATTAGAAATTCGTGGCTTGGGCTGGTTTTGAACTTTACGCTTTTCTTTGTTTGTTTCTCATACTTATTCTGACCCAAGCACTCTTTTGCGGGGCAGACTTTTTTTATGCGAACTTTCTTTAAAATTTTACACCAAGAGTTTGGTTTATGTTTGTATTGGGTATCATATATTCTGAATGTCTTTTATTGTAGTTGATGTGGATAGTGTTACTATTACCCGTTGCTGTTGTCTCCATTCTGCTAACACTTTTCCCTTACAGATCGATCACCAATATTATTCAGCTCCCAGTTGCCACCATGTTGGCCACCAGCGGGAGAGTGACCGCACAGCTGTTAACCCTGACACCGCCAACGGCTTTGCAGGATTAAGCTTGTCTGCAAAGCGCAAATTGGTTAGCGGAACGAATAACCATAGTTCCAGTTATCATCGTGACCCCCTTTACGACCACGGCCAGGTTACCCCAGAGGGCCCACAACTACAGTCTGCTAGAAAGACCACTACCACTGACGGTCTCGAATACATTGAAAATCAGTATGAGGACGGCCCGAAAAAGTCACCAAAACGTATGCGCTCAAATGAATGGCCTTAAGTAACAGAGAATCCAGCTACAGCCCTAACAAGGCCCATGGAGGAAAGGATTCTACAACTTCCCGCCTCCGTTCGAGAAGACGGCAGTCCCAGGGGAAGACACGTTATTGTTCTCGCTCTGTCTCTGCTTCCGCGGCTCCGGCAGGAGAAGGAGAACGCCGATCTAGGTTCCTCGAGGGGAGTATGAATGATCGCGTCAGCGAGAAACCTCCTGGTATATATATAGGGGAGGATGTGGATGAGGCAATTGATCGATATACAAGCGCTAAGCAAGAAACATCTGCTTGGGGAAACGCCGGTTCTCCCGGTAGAGGTTGGAAATATGGCCGTTCGTATGCGTCGACAACTACAACTTCAGTGAGCTCTGTTACATCAGAGACGCCAAGTACGAAGAGCTCCGGGCTGGCCAGGTTTGGACAGGCTATTGCGTCGACGTTTAATACCTTCGGCATCTGGAATAATGTCGCTGAGATTCGGAAAGGGCCCCAGGATGGAACGAGGACGACGACTACAGCTGCGTCAACCACATCAGCCGCTACCATACCCCCCAATGATGTCCTCAAGGAACGCAAGGCTCAGGCTGAGAAAGCATATGCTGAGCTCAAAGCGTCTAGATACGTAGGGACGGTGAAGTCCACCGCAACCCGCGATGGAAGCCCTGGCCTGGAAAAGAAAGGCGTTAAAAAGCAAAAGCAAGCTGCTCCCGACCACACACAACAGAGGATGCACGTTCATTCCACTAATTCGATACCCAACAAAGAACACCACCCCAGTTCGTCGAAGTCTGTGTTTCGCCCTTCATTCCAGGATCTCCGTAAAGCGGCGTCATTTATTAATGTCACATCGCCCACGAAACGGGGGAATTCTATTGATGATGACGTTCAGGGGGATTCTCGCGTTCTTCGAAAACAGCATTCTCACCGGGACTTAGAGAAGCAGCGCAAACTGAAGAAGAAAGTTATTACCTTGGAAACTCAGTTGGAGCGAGCGAAGCAGCAACTTATCATGATTTCGGGAGCCGGAGATGCCGACGAGAATGTGAGTGTGACTGCCAGTGGGTTTGGTGGTGTACGTGTGAGTTTGAATGAACCTGAGGATGAGGAAGTGCAAGATTTGGCGCCAATACCTCCTTCACACATTGGATGCGTCAGGGTGGGACGGAAGAAGAAATTCGTGCCGGGCGCGTTGGCCTCTCTTCCCTCCGAGAGGATTCTCCTTGGCCAGATGGCGGAGAAGCCAATAATTAAGCCGGTGCTTAAGAATAAAGCTATATCAAGCTCCGGGACGCTGGATCGAGAGGATACGAACAATCCTCATTCCATACTCAAGAAAAGCGGGCCAGCGTTGAATAATAAGGATAGTTTGACGTCTTTATCTGGGTCTCGAGATGTAAAAAATTTGGGCTTAGCGCCAATAACCCACCAAGGTCACGATAACGATTCAAGTCCAACACATCCCGACAAATATCTAGGCAGAGTCGGTGATTCTTTACTCCCAAAAAGAATCCAATCAACCCGAAAAGCCAAACTGCAGAAGCCCGAGTTGTTTTTATATCCATCCTCTAAAAATAATGAAAAGACTTCCGCGTCTTTTCCTTCCCAGCATACTGGCAATGGCCAGCTCCATTCGGGTCAAAATCCAAACTCCGATCCTAAGCTCAAAGTCACGGTCCGCCGCTGCCCTTCCAACGCTCCTTCATGCCATAATATTCCTCACGGCCACAGTGACGATTCAGACCCAAACATGGGCTCCAACACTAAGCCCAAGCCAAAACGCAACTGCAGCGGTGGTGCAGTGATACATGGTGATGATATCCCTCCAGTTCCACCTCTGCCTGTCAAATTTGCGGCAAGTGTCAGTGGGCGGGGTGCGAAGGAGAACAATGCGCCCTTACCGCAGGCGTTTGACTGGCCTGAGGACTTTTTGTGAGAAGGTTCGTGGTGGAAGCTAGCAGCAGGTCTTTTCGGATGTATTTGTTGCTGGGGAAGAAGAAAGGTGTGAGGCGAAATACTCAGTGGGCAGGAAGGCGGACGTTGGATTTTGGAATTTCCGTGACCGCAGTTGGTTCAATTGGCCGCTGCTGTGTTTATTTGCACTTTTGTACTTTTATGTCCACGTTGATGATTTTATGATGTCTTTGGATGATTGCTTTACATTTGTATGTGAATATTGCTTTTCTTTGGGACGTCATATTGTATGAGAATCCTATTTGTTTGTTTCTTCAAGGTTTTTCGAGCATTCGCAAGTACATAGACAACCTTTGCGACTGATCCGAAATACGTGTTTGAATGTCGTGTATATTACTTTCCCCCCCCCCCCCCCCCCTCCCCTTTCTTCTGCGTTCCGGTTGATTTTCAGCTGCTAATGTTCGTATATTTTCACTTTCTACTTGCCAGTTTTGTCCTGGCGAATTTGATATTCCTGGGATTTTGTTTATTCAACGATCCAAATTGGGACCACCGTTTCTTTAGGAATTTATGGATGCTGCTTCAAAACTTGGTTAATATTGACTGACGTTGTTAACCGAAGAGTTTTTGGGTAAAAGAGAAATTTGTCAGCTCAACTCCTATTGCTACCTGAAAATGCTTCGAGACATCGCCAGCCGTCCCCAACAAGTTAGTAGGGTTGTCTATCGCAAGAAACACAAAACTATCTTATCGAATGCCCGGCAAAAGGGCAAAAAGCTACGCAATTACAAATACCAACGGTAGTCCCCTCTGAAACTGGGCCATCTCTCAACTTCTTCGTCGATATATCCTTCGCTTTCACCGTCATCTCCAACTTCTGATCTCGTCTCATTCATTGTGTGTTTTACTCCGTACTGTTGTCGGAAACAAAACTGCAGGGCCGGTTTTGTGCTGATGGTTGATTGGGTTGGCTGGGTTGAGGAGTCCGCATTCGCACATTTTAACCCATTGGACGAAACTTGGATTTGCATGGACGCAAATTTGCTCCGGCGCATGAAGGCGAATTGGGATCTCAAAGCACTATCTGGAGGAATTTACATTATGTATGGTCTCCCACAGTAGTGGTCAGTTTGAAGGGCCCGTTTCTTGTTTCCAACATCGAGTCAACCTGGGTTCGCGACTGGAATTAGTTAATGGGTAAGCAGTAATGGATGAATAAGGACAGCTTATGCAAAACTTACCGTTGCTAGTACCTGATGGAGGTGCAGGACCGGGAAGAAGATCTATTTGGATCAATCATTTACGAAGACCGTCCCATGACATACTTTTCATATCGAAATAATCCTGGACCATGAACCATTTGCTCCATTTTTTCTCCATAGATTTTGATGAGCATTAGAGCTATTTAAGATGTTATTCTGGAAACCCCTTCAGCTCTACGGGTATCTATTAATCAGTTCCCAACATCAGTTCTCGCCTAGATAGCCAAAGACAATACCACAGATTTCTTGAAAACACCATCGCTGTCCGGAAACAAACATCTAATCGCTGCTATTACCCTTAAGTCACGTGACCTATTCTCCATTACATGACTATAGAATAAGTCGTTCTCGTAGTTAGCAACCTTGAACATCGACCAAACTTGCCATTCGGTCAGAAGTTGATTAAACCATCCGCTTTTCAGGACTTCACTTGGAAGGGAGCAAGCGAGGGGTTCTATCAACACCATATCCCGGCCGATATGACAGTTATCGTACCCATTAGTTAACTAACTACCTTGCTTAAACTTGAGGACTGACTTGTAACTAAGAATTGTGGAATCCTGGTCTCAGTCCTGACCCTCCGTTAATGCGAAATTCCACGGCTCCCAAAAATCTCCACAAGTGCAGGGTGGTGAAATAATGTCTCATTCGATTATTCCAGTCTTCCTCAACTGACTTCTCGGGACAACTTCACTTATACCCCAAATATCCAGGTCCAAGTTAATTCTACAGGAAAAGAAAGCATTTTATCAATAGACTAACAATGTCTGGTGTGGCCAATTACCCCAATGCCTCGCCCGAGGACATCAAAGCCCAGTATGTTGGGCGCTTGCTGTCCGACGTCGATGGGCCGGCCGCAATTATAGATGTGGCAGCTGCACGCCAGAATTGCCAATTTATGCTCGATGCAGCAGATGTTTTGGGGGTTCATTTCCGCGCTCATATCAAAACTCATAAGGTATGCAGGTCGTGGTGAATTGCTGATCCTTCCCTTTCATCACGTTTCAGCATTTTTATGTCGGGTTTGGGATGCACACCTGAGGTTGGGCCTGCGTCATGTAGAAGTTGGTCTGCTAACATGTGTAATAAGACGACAGAGCTTACACGATTCCAAGTCGGGGAGAAGAGCGATACGGTTCGATTAGTCGTTTCAACTCTGGCCGAAGCTGAGCAGCTCAAGCCTTACCTGGAAGAATGTAAAGGAAAAGGAAGATCCATAGATGTGAGGAAAAGCGTTTCCTTTTTTCGGGAAGATTTTCGAACATCATGTTCTAACATTAAATTTAGATAATCTATGGTTTACCAGTGCAACCATCGTGCTTCAAGCGACTTGCAGTCCTTGGAGCCTCGCTAGGAAAAGGCAGCATATCCGTTTTAGTGGATACTCCAGAAATAATCCCCTTCCTTGCCAAATACCGGGAGCTTACTTCGGATACTCTTGGAGTGTTTATCAAGCTTGACACTGGCTATCAGAGAGCTGGAGTTTGCCCGGATTCTTATGAATTCAGGGATCTCGTTGCAGATATCCATGCTGCGGAGCACGACGAGACCTCAAGTATATCATTACGCGGATTTTACAGTCATTTTGGCAGTAGTTATGACTCAAGCAGCGAGAATGAAGCAGTAGCTTATCTGGAAGCTGAGATCGAACGTGGTGAGATTGCTGTCGAATACGCCTCAACAGTAGGAAAGTATTCCGGACGCCGTTTCATCCTTTCCGTCGGTGCAACCCCAACAACTACATCGGTGCAGAATCTCACTTCTCCCAATGCCCTTGATCCAGCAATGCAACGCGTTAAGGAGTCAATTGCTCATTCCAAGTTCTCATATGACATCGAGCTACATGCTGGCGCGTACGTCATTCTAGATATGCAACAGCTAGTAACACATGCTCGACCAACTTCGTCTCATCTTTCTTTCAACAATATAGCCTTAACGGTCCTGGCAGAAGTTGCCAGTCTATACCCATACAGAAACACACCCGAGGCATTAGTCGCATGCGGAGGACTATGTCTGGGGCGAGAACCCTGCCACAATTATTCTGGTTGGGGGGTTGTGACCCCCTGGTTGGAAAACGGGGAGGGCACAAGAGTGGCCGAATCAGGATGGTATGACCCCGATGGAGATCGAAAGGGGTGGATTGTGGATCGAATTAGTCAAGAACATGGGATTCTTGCGTGGCAGGGTCCGAGGAACAATATTCGGCCGCTTAGAGTAGGGGAAAAAGTTCGGATTTGGCCAAATCACTGTTGCATTTGCCTTGCTGGGTTCAGTTATCTGCTGGTGGTGGATTCGAGTTTAGAAGGCGTTGAGAAGGATAGAGTACAGGACGTATGGCTGAGTTCACGAGGGTGGTAGATGAAACGGCTCTATACATGGCTAAGTATTAGGGTTTTCTGTTGTTCTTTTAGGTACTACTAAAATTCCTTTGGGAGCAAATCATGCCAACCTTGAAAAACAGAGACAAGATATAATTTTTTTTTTTTTTTTTTTGGAAGTTGCTATACACCAGTCACTGACATATTCCTCTCAGACGCAGATAGTCCTAACCAGGTAAGAATGCCGATTCTCCCCCAGAAGTTCAATTTGACAACAAAATGCTTAGGGAGTTTCGGACGGGTATGTATATTGATCAATGCCACAGACCCTATTATTATCATATCTCCTAAGCATCTTCCCTACCGCCGGCAACGAGGAGTCACTCAGCTGCGTCTTTAAATCTCAGAAATTCCACATATCCAACTTTGTTGTGTTTGGTGCAATATGCGTTGTTCCCGCTCATAAAGAGGACTTTCTCTCATATTCTTCTTTCCAATCCAGAGTGGAATGGAGTAAAGCTTTTGGTGTCTTTGGTGCACAACAACCCAAGAACTAATGGTATGATGATGTACCATTTCGTGATGGGATCGGAGATGCGCGGAGAAAATACAGTGATGATGTTAAGACTGTGTCGTTTTCTACACCTTCAGGGCTCCATTTGTCCATGAACTTGAACGCCATTTCCGTGTCCTCTGCCTCCGTAAGGAAAAATTTTGATACGGTCCGCCAAATTCTATATTCTGCATTCCAGGTCGAACGTTGCCATCACATAAAAAGAAGTAATAGTCATGATGAACATTCAACACTGCTGGCTATTTTTAGGGGCGATGGACCCAGACTGCTGTTTGCGTATCGGAATCCCAGAAATTCCCTGCTGCAGCAGATCTTCCCATATTGCCAACCTTTAGGTCGAGAATGCAAATATGTTGTCAAGGTAGTCGCGAACCTTTTCCCGGTCTGTATCAAGATATTTACGTTATTATCTTTCATGAAGTACCAATAAACAGGATTATCTCTATTGGTGGCCGGGGAAGGCCTCCGGGTTGTTTGATGAATGGACTGAGCAACGGAATTATGTTTATATTATTTGGGATTAGTGTGACTACAGGAAAGCAATAATAGGCCAAATGGATGCCACACTGAGATTTACGGAAGTGATGCGGGCAAATAGCACAGGAGTTAAAAGGCAGGAAGATTTAAGATTCATGAGCTTATTAACGCAAGAATTGTAGACTAATTGAAAGAGATATAATAAAAATGTTTAAAAATGAGAATTAAAACGTGATATTTAGATGTTTTGCACAGAGAGATCGGCATCGTTCATTCTCTCTGTGAAGAAATGCAGGTTGAGCTTATCAGGATTGCGTCAGGACCTGGCAATGAGTCATTTAGTCGCTTAGTCAGCCGCGCACATTCTCTTTCTGATGTCTACTACTTATTTCACTCAGTTAGTTAGAAGATAGATGCAGAGAATATACAGCTCAACTTGATACAACATTAGCTATTGAGATATCCGACAATTTGTTGCGGGATGGTTGTTTTAGCGTGGAGCTTAGTATGATTGGCGCTCTCTGTAGGATTAATCGCGCGGCTATTTATTTCATCTCTCCCTAGGGGCAAATTCACGTTTTCAGTATACACCCAGAAAAGGCCCCTGAAAAAAAGAAAAGAAAAGAAAAGAAAAGAAAAGAAAGAAAGAAAAAACCTTTGCTTTCCGTGGTGGGACGAGGATCTATCTATTGTAGAACGCAGAGGATACAGTGTAGCTTCAAGAAGTAATATCCATAGGTAGAATGGATATTTGGATGAAATGATTTCAAGATATCTCATTAATTGGATCATTTTATCACATAGAACGCCAGGCCAAAAACATCCCGAGTATGTAGTTACCACCTTTTGTGTCTCCAAGAGTAGACGTCTAGCATGCCAATCGGACGAAGGGCGGCAATATCGGCAATTGCTCTTGGCACGGCAATCAAATGGCCGAATCAGCCGTTTGCCGAGGAAGACGTTCGGCTGCATCGCGTCTAAACAAATGCGGGGAAGGCTTTGACAGCGGCAAAGGCTATCTATCAATGATACCCCCGGGGACCAATCTTGCTGTAATTTCAGTGTGATGAGAAATGCTTGCCGGATTTCTTATATTTGATTACATTTGAAATGCGTACTTAGCAGCGACCTCGGTTATCCTTCTTTGAGACAAGACAACGATCCTCATATAAGTATCGCTACCAGGCAGAGGTAGTACCTTTTGATGGATAGAATAGAATGATTCAATTTATGAATTAGTGCTCTCTTGTAGAAATCCAAACACTATGCCGCAGTCGCAGGGCAGCATGAATTTTGATCTTCCCTCAGATCTCGTTTCCCATATCTCGTCCTTGGACAAATTCATTCAGAACACAATTCTCCCCTTGCAGCATGCTGGAGATAATAATAGGTTTTTTGACTACCGACGAGAACATGCACGGACTGATTGGGACAATGGAGGATTGCCGCGGAGAGAATGGGAGGATATGCTAGGTTAGATCCTATCGCGATTTACGTCCACTTGTAAACTCATTGCTATCATCGATTGCAAGATCAATTATGCTAAAAGTACACTGTACCAGTCCAGGCACGCAAACTCGCCGATCAAGCAGGCTTCTACCGTTTTCCTCTCCCCAAGATATACGGCGGAGCAGCAAACCCTAACACAAATCTCTGGATGAGCGCCATTCGCTACCACCTTACCTCACACCCGGTCTACGGTGGAGGCGTCTCGCTCGCCAACGATCTGCAAACCGAGCACAGCGTCGTTGGCAACTTCCCAGATATACTAATGTTGCATCACTTTGGTAACAAAGAACAACGCCACACCCTCATCCCCGCCCGCCTTAGGGGAGAATATCGCGCCACCTTTGGATTGACGGAACCCAAACACGGCAGCGATGCCACCTTCATGGAGACAATTGCCCTCCCAGATCGCAGAGAATACCCCGCTAGTTCGGGCCCCGCCAATGCCGTCGACGGCTTCGTGATCAACGGAGCTAAGAAATGGCAAACGGGCGCTCACCACTGTACGCATATGATAGTCTTCGCGCGTACGTCCGGCAAGCCGGGGTCATCGCGAGGAATCACAGCCTTTCTGGTCCCGCGCAAAACTCCCGGTATTAACGTGATCAGCTACGAATGGACCTTCAACATGCCAACGGACCATGCAACAGTGGGGCTGGACGATGTGTTCGTCCCCCGCTCCGCAATTCTTGGCGAACTCGATATGGGGCTTGCAATTGCGCAGACTTTTGTACATGAGAATCGGATCCGGCAGGCGGCATCTTCGTGTGGCGCTGCACGCTTCTGTCTTGACAAATCGATTGAGTATGCGAAGGAGAGGGAGGTGTGGGGCAAGGGTAAGACGCTCGCTGATAATCAGGCAATTCAGTTTCAAGTCGTAGAACTGATGACGCAGGTGGAGATGTTGAGGCTTCTGATATTGCGGACAAGTTGTGAGATGGACAAGATTACAGCGGAGTGTGGAGGACATGGGGACGCCCCTGTAACTGGGTCTAAGAAGCCATGGGTGGAAATTGAGAAAAGGTTAAGCGATCAGGTGGCTATGTGTAACTTTTGGGCCAATAGGTTGTGCTGCCAGGCTGCGGATAGAGCTATTCAAGTAAGATATGTGATTCCTACGAAACTTCTAGGAAAGAGGGTATTGCTGATGCGTTGATTGAATTGTTTCTAGATTCATGGCGGCAACGGGTACTCCCGTCACAAGCCATTCGAACACATCTACCGCCACTTCCGTCGGTATCGCATCACGGAGGGCTCTGAGGAAATTCAAATGCGCAAGATCGCGGCGTACATTTTTGGATTTGCGGGTCCGAGGAAAATCGAAGAAGCTAAGAAGCGGGAGACGAAAGCTAAAGAGGAGGAAGAGGCGAAGAAGGCAAAATTGTAAAAAAAAGAAAAAAGAGATGGGAGGAGGCCCTATGCTATATCAGATAACACGGATCACTGTTCAAGTTTGATTATTCTTGTGTCCCCCTTTTTGGGGATTATAAGTATAATAAAATGGGCATTTGATCTTGCTTTAGATGAAGTCAGAATAGTTCTAGATATCAGAATAATTCTAGATATCAGAATGCCTGATAGTTGCTATTTGTTGAAGATAGGAGGATTAACTAGTTGAGAACTATTTAGTTACCCTTGCAACTTTTCTTAATGAAGAGAATAAATTTCACAACTTAATTGATACAGGGCAACCAGGAAATGAATTCACGTTTCTTTGAGAGGGAAATTAAAGAAAATGAAATGAAAATCTCTCTCATAATACAGCTGAGCCCAGCATCAGTCTTCATAAATAATTGCATGCATCAAGACAGATGTTGACATGAAGTCTCATGAAATGCATGTCATGGATGTATCGTCACGCATCATTTTTAATTTAACTCCACATTTCCCTGCATCAACCATTGTCCTATTGCTTTCATTTCTTTCGTCAATCTGGTTTAGAAGATCGCCGTTGCGTTGGGGTGGGAACTCACGCCAGCTAGCGACTAAGTTAGAACAGTGGGGGGGGAAAGAAAAAGAAAAAGAAAAGAATAAGAAAAAAAAAAGGGAAGGGATTGAGGAATTGGAAAGGCAGAAAGAAGTGGAAAGAAATACGTACCAGGGACATTTGCAGGGGCACTTGTCACAAAGAAGAACCACCTCCCCTTCTCACGACATTTCTCCGCCAGACGCTCCAAATCCCACATCTCGCCTAAAGGCATACCCCACAACGCAAGGATATACTCATGCAAGTAGTATGAGACTGGGGTTGGCCAGCGTTCGAAGGACGGGGCGTCTCCCGCTACCGCAGCAAAGTAACAGTCATGCAACCAGTCAATAATGGCCTCTTCCTGCGCCAACCCGGCATACTGCTCCTTCTCAGACTGCTCCCTGTCACCCTTCTTATACTCCCCAGGGGCATGCCCACGCAGAGCTAGCTTCGTGCGTTCCTCCGGAGTACGTTCATAGTAGCTCTCGACAAACCCTGAGCGGACTAGGAGGATATCGCCGACCTTGATATCTCCACCCTGAGACTCAGGGCGGATGTCGATTCCCTGGGCCTTACCGCACTTCATGAGCTCGTCAAAAGTGATAGCGTGCGAGGTGTAAGGATCGTAGTTGATACCGTTGGCTTTGGCGTAGGTGCGGTAGTCGAGGAGGACGCCACGCCCGGCGATGCCGGTATCGGCCCAGTGGTGGATGCTGCATTTGTGGTTGGAATTGGGGCCCATGATGTCGTCTGCCGTGGTCTGTGAAGGTAAGTTAAATTAACGGCAAAGTTTTTGCAATAACGATAGTACGGATTTTTGCGCACCCCGTTATAAAATGTTTGAGATGCTCTGTGAGCAAACTTCGAACAGGGGACATGTTAGCCATTGAAATTGTAAACAAGTCACAGTTCCGCTATTGACAGCACACATACATGTCTAAAGCCATCCCACTGGGTTCCACTCTGAGTGTTGAGCTCGTATTTATCGTCATAGGCGATTCCTGGAACCAGGGCCTTGATGGTGTGGACAAATTTCTCGCGACCAAATCCAGGCTGTTCTGGGACGTTCAACGGAAGGCTACATATACATGAAGTCTGTCAGCTTTCTTCGAAGGCAGGCTTTCCAGACAGGCTTCTCAGACACATCCCCTTATGCTATGGGCTAACTGCGTACTCGAGTGGCACAATCTCGCCTGTCTTGATCTCTTCTGCGGCGGCCTTGACTCGCTTTGGTGTAAGCAGATTCAGTCTACCAATCTGTTGGACACAACACGTCAGTTCAATGTTCGTTGGTACTGATATCGGAAGCCATTTATGAAGAATTGCATTCCACTCACATAGTCATCTTTTCCCCAAACCCAAGCGGCACCCTCGGGAGCACCGGGGATCTTAGGCAGATCCTTACGAAGAGGGAGCTTTGTGATATCAGGATCCCAGGGCAGCTGATCAGGAGACTTCGCGTCTGTGAGCATGCCAGCAACCTGGGCAACTCTTTTCTTAATGGATGACATGTTGTCTGATATCTATTTGGCGATATCCTAGTTGGTGAACTTAGGTAAGATGTCGGGGATGCTGTGGCTACAGGAAGTTGTGGCCAGTGTTACGGCACCAGAACGATGAGGAACAATATATCTTTTGGGACTTGAGAACCAAGGCAAAAAGTGAGACTGAGGAGAAGAAAAGAAGTGAAGAAATATATAGAGAAGATGAAATTCTTCACTAGAACAGCTGGGTAGGTAGGATTACCTCCTCACCTCAGCTGTTAACACAAGAAGAGACAGACACATTAACTCCACCACAGGACGATGCTAAAGCAACCATCGCCGAGGGGCATTTTTCCCCCGCAATTTTCGGGCCCAGACCTTTCCGGGCATGGAATGTGATTGTGGCAATCTCCAAGAATTAGTGGTCAATGTCCAGGAATATCGCGGATATGTTTTCCTACTGGGGGCCAATTCGGGTATTCGCCAAAAGAAGACTGGCCATCGGCTTGCAACTACGGCTGAATGGTGTCCTGGACAACCGAGTCGGAGTGAGCTAACTATGGTGGATTCCATCATGGCTTTTCTTGAAACGGATAATCGTAAGAATACTCGTGAAACAAGTGTTGCAAAGAGGGGGATCCCTAATTCATCCAGCGAGGGTAGAGTTTGCTAGGTAGCTGACCCCCCAGACATGAACGAATTGCCTGAACGAATTGGGGTTGATGCTCCATGGTGAGAAATGAGCCTCCGTTGATGGTTGGTTGGTTGGTTGGTTGTTTAGTTAAAACTACGTAAGAACTTGCCTAGGGCCAACCCACTTGTAGCCGGAAGAGCTGGTCATTCATTGACATCCATGGGATGGTCCAAGAGTTCGTTCTTTCAGGTTGTGAGGTCGACATTTAATTCTGTAGAGATTTAATACAGGGTGACTATTGTGCTGTCGGGGAGGGGAGTTAGTTACATCTTCCACTCCCAGGACAAAGAAGTCCAAAATTTTCAGCAGCGGTGACCAGTTGAATAGAGACATTCTAATGTCCCTCGGTGTCGCATTGTCTAATCCCTTACATCGAGACCATAGCTGATCCATGTGATGGCTACCCCGTCTGTCAGGGATACATTTCACTACTTCAGTGTAAGTGTCTATAGTGTTTGGACAATTCAATCGAGTCGCAGGTCGCATTACCCTCCCTAGATACCTAGCTAACGATCCGGATGAGAGGCGTTTGCGGTGTCGCACATGGAGATCCACGAAAATGAGGTGCGGAGTTCTCGGTTGATTAAATAATGGGAGATTGCACATGGCAGGGACAGTTCATCTCAGCCTTGAGTCTTATGTCGAGCATTTCATCCTCCTTACCATTTGGAATCACCTTTGATCCCCACTTGGAGACGCAGCCAGCCATTCAATGTGGGTTCCAACTGCTGTGACCGGCGTCGCCAATTCGTTTGAGCTCGGTTCCGTCAGGCTGACGGGGAAGCCAAACAAATAGCGGTTGAGCAGTTTTGGAAAAACACCAATCCGGGAGTTGGTTCTGTTCTTAGACGTAGACAAGTCGAGGACAGACCAATTTCTAGGAATTTGCTATGGGATAGTTATATCCGACCAGGTATATTGACAGAACGCATCGTCGAGGACGTAGAGCCGCCGCTGATGCGATCTTGTTAACATTAAGTATTCTATCAGCAGTCGTATAGAACATTTAAGTTCAGGACATACAAAACTACGATATACAAATCAAAAACGGATCAACATCCAGAATCTAACTCGTGGATTCCGCTCTTTTCTAGAAAAAACGGATGGGGAGCGAGGAGGAGGAGGGAAAAAGGGAGGGTAGGCAGCAGCCATCAACGGCCAAAGAGTATTTGCTATTCTGTCTTCAAATACTCCCTATGTTGCTCGTCGGGACTCGACAGTTCTTCCGATCCCTCCTCAACATGCGGATTAGGTTTTCCCAAATTGACTACATCATCACCCTCCAACATAATAGGAGGGCCTTTGAATTCCTTGCGCACCCGCACAAAGTACCACACAACGCTGGTCACCGCGAACCCTGCAAACACTACGCTAGCATAATTCATCTTTGACGGCGTCGCGGGTAGGGAAAGAGGCATGCAAAACAGCACAGTGGCCAATGCAATCCAAACTACTGCCGCGATATTGATAGTGTAGCCGAATTTGCCGAGCGAGAAGGGTGCATTTCTCACCTTTGTGCGTCCGCGCACGACAGAGATGAGAATTGGCACCCCATATGAGGTTGAGAGACAGATGGTCGCGACACCGGTGAAGGAGAAAAATGCCTCGCGAGAGCCGAAATAAATGAGTCCCAGCAGACAATCGATGAGTGTGGATAAGGTAAGACCCCACAACGGTACGTCAAAGCGTTTGTTAACCCTGCGCCACAACCTGGATCCGGGGATCGCACCGTCCCGTGCAAAGGCGTATGTGCATCGGCTTGCAGCCGTCAGGGCGCCGATTCCGGCAAATATTTGGATCCCTAAAAGTAGGAAGAGGAGTCCGGAGCCACCCGCTGCAGAACCGGTAACAGTCTTGAAGAGGAGACCGATTGGTTGGCCATTAGCGACAGCTCTGAGTAGCTCGACGGGGGGGAGGACGAAGAGAAGCGGGATGAGATAGACGATGCCGGTAATGCCGGCTGCGACAACGGATAAGACGATTGCTTTGGGAACTTCGCGGTGAGGGTTTTGGGTTTCTTCGCACATTGCTGCCACCATGCCGTACCCTGTTAGGGTGTATGCGGCTTGAAGCAAACCTAAAAAAAAGGACCAGCCGTCCGGCCTGGTGGCGGGGGTAGTTAGCAGGAAGTATTTAGCTATGGACAAGATGTTGTGAGTTGTGGGGAATAGGAAACAAATGGAAGCCTTCTTTACCATCCACTTGTGGAGGCGTCGAAATGCCCAAATACAAAGCTGGCGTGGTTCCTATGTTTTGCCATGGATAGTAAAGTAACCATAATAATAACCACACTCGCAGCCGTCCAGTATATGCATATTTTGTTAATGATATATAAGTACTTTGCACCAAAATACATTAACCAAAGCACAAACCAGCATCACTGCCCAGAACATCAAGACTGTCTGCCACCCATTGGGGACAAAATCTTCCTTCCATAGTGTAAAAGCACTGAGAATCAGCTGGCCTCCAGAGAAGTTGATGCTGAGGGTGACGGTCCAGTTGCCCACTAGCGTCAGCCAACCGTCGATAAAAGACATCAATGGTGCCCATTTCTTTGTCGCCAAAATTGCGCTCCAGTAGTATACGCCGCCCGCTGTAGGATACACGGAGCAGATTTCGGCCAGCGATGCGGCGATTGCCATTGAGATGAGAGTGACGAATACCCAGCCCCAAAAGATCGTAACGCAGAGTCCGTTGATCAGGTTGACATACAGGGTTGTACTGAGACCAAAAGGCACGGCCATGATGGCAAAGGACCTGTGAAACAATTTCCATTCCCCCTTGTCAGATTGTATTTACAATTAAATTGAACCCACTGAGTATGTAGTTGTACTGCTTCCAGGCACAGAACCAAACAAAGTAGGACAAGGCAAGTGATTGAAGTGATAAGTAAAAAAGAAAAAACATACAGGCCCAATACACTCAACATTCCCAAATTTCGCGGCAGCTCCCCCTTGTATCCCATTTTTTCCAGTTCAACATCTGCATTGACATTGGCATCCCCCGAGCCGTTGCGCGGCGCGACATCCTCAACTGAACCTCTTACCATCCTGGCGCAAAAGCTCGCAGCCACCGGTATCCACGAATAACTGGAATTCAAAGGGACTGAGGGTGACAGGGAGAGTTAAAGAGGAGAACTTTATGCGTTCTCAAAACCCACAAAGGGGATCGCTGTATTTTTGAATGGTATCCGACCCGGTGAACTGTAGGGATTCGCCCCACACGATTGGGAGCGACAGGCGGAGGATGCCGGTGGGTGGGTAGATAAGAGATACCAAAGCCCCGGAAGCCTTTGCTTGCGCACAGCACTCGGATTTGGGCTCTGCTAATGAGATCTGGCAGGGAGAAGAGGATTTTGAGCGTGGAAATTCAGGAAGACAAAGGGAGCATTAGTTATCAGTGACCTTCTGCAGTCTTCCGGAGTCACACGCCCTGGGTTCGCCAAATATATCTGTGGCGTCGATGCAAGTGATAACTAAGTGTTTTAAGAGATAGCCCTCGAGTAAACCCAAGAGCATCCATGAAAATGGAACCGACCAACTCCGCCCTTGTTGCATGCCAAACGATGATGGGGTCATGTTACGCAATTTTCTTCCCTGGGAAAACTGGGGATCCCGTTCAAGCCTGCGGGGAACTCGCTAACTGGTTGCAAAACTTAACCCAAATACCGGTCGCTTGTGGATAACCTAACATCATAAGGCATTGTTGCACTGAAGCTTCCACCCAGAACCAAGAATGCAGAAGGCAAAAAACATGGCTTCTTCCTGAGAGTTAAGTCAACCACATTTCCGCCCTTTGCATTTCCGAAAACTTAAACAGATTCCGATGCACTGAGCGGTTATCTAGCTGACGTTAAGCCCGGAGTGAGGCTGGAGCTTACCAGAACAGATGATAAGTGCGATGTCCAAACAAACTGTCCTTGGAGAAATATGGGCCTAAAGGTTCGGTCGGCAAGTAGTCAAATCGGAATCCTCACAGGCATCAAGTTTCTCAAGCGGATTTCAGCGTTCAGCGCGGAGTCCGCCTGCCCGGTGGGTGGATATTTTGTGTTTAGGAACCAAGGGCACAATATGAGTCAATCCATTGGCTAGCTAAGAAGTAACTAACTAGTTAGTGGAGTGAGTTACTTCAATAACTATCCGGAACGCTTACAACAGCCAAGATGCTCAGAGAAATTATCCTATCTTCAGGTCCAACGTCGGATTTACTCCCTAGACGGATCGACATGAATGATAACAACACAGAGAGAGCTCACCTCTTAGGGGACCGAAGGGGGTGAATATGCTCTCAGGAGTCATCTAACTACTCCGGTTGCTCAGCATTCACTAAACCAATTGCTGGTTCTGTATTGACTTATCAAAGAGTTCCTATCATTCGATACCCTTTGCCCACGACCCCAGTTGGATGCCTCAATGGCAATTTCAACCCTTAGTTATACTGCTGTTGCTCTTCCAGTTTTCAATATGTTGTCATGCTATTCTATTGTTAAATGACGACGCGATGTCCTTATTAACTGCAGACTCTTAACACCACTGGCAAAATGTGCCTTCACCCATCCCTCCAAAAACCATTCCGTTTTGTCTGGCTCTTGTAGCCAGCAATCGTTGCGAGCTTGAGACTCCTGAGTTGGCGTCTGCTTGCGGCTCCACTTCAGCGCTTCGAGCGGGTTGTTGGTTGCTCGGATAGAACCATGGCTTGTAAACGGATCAGCACAGACAGGATGGCCGATTTGTTGGGTTACCACTGGGGCGGCCTGGTTGCCCTCTTTCCAGATACGTACGAGGTAAGGCACACTGCATATTCATGTTAGTGGGGAAACGAAATGCAATTCGTTCAAATTCCCTGGGTTTATACTACCATACCCTCTCAATCTGCATGCAGATTTGCACTGATCCCGGGATAGTTCACTGCAGTTGAAAAGAGTGAGAGATTAAAAATAGTCATTCAAAGAAACAATGAATGAATTATGATTATTAAAGCTGTAAGTGTAAAAAAGATAATATCATCAGTGATTATTTTGAAAGACAAGAATCAGCAGACTGCCTAATATTAAAATTAATTTATAAAAACTAGTTAATGATTTATAATTAATAAGAATGATTAAAACAATAAATATCATTAAACTACATTAACTGAAGAAGATCTTTATATCATATTCAAAATATTATCTAACTGATATAAAATAGTTATTATTATTATTATTATCATTATTATCATTGTTCATTTAAAATATATATAGTCAATAACTATAATATTTATCTAATTATATTAAAATTTAATTTTTTTAAAAATTTGATCTATATATATAATTTAAAATATTTAGTTATATAATTTTATCTTAAAATAATATATTATTTAAATATATATTTTACAATATATAATATTTAATTAAATATAAAATTTAATATTTTTTATAATAAAATAAAATTATTTATTTTTATATATTATATTATATCTCTTATCTTTTTCAAATACTTGATATTAATATTTTTAGATTATTTAAATAAATATATAAAAAATTAATTAAAGTTAAAATTAATTTAAATAATATAAGTATATTTTTTTAAAATATATTTTTTAATTATATATATTAATATTATTATCTATTAAATTTTTTTTAGGTTTTAAAGTTTATATATATTTTAAAACTTTTATTAATTGAAATATTATATAAAAATTTTATAAAATAATTTTTATATATAGAATTTCTCTAATAATTTAATTTTTATATCAATCAATTTAAAAAATATATTAAAATATTGATAAAAATATATATATTTTTATAATAAAGAATTAAAAAATATATTTTTAAAAATATATTTTTTATAAATAAATAAAAAGATTAAATTTAAATAAATAACTTAATTAATATCTTAAGAAATAAAATTTTAATTTATTAAATATATTTTAATAATAAATTTTAATATATTATAGTATATATTATAATATTAATTATATAATAAAAATTTACTTTTATAGATAATAATCTATTTTTATATTTTAATTAATTATATTTTTTTAAAATTCTAAATAAAATCTCTCAAAATTAAATAAAATAGTTAAAAAAATTATAAATTAATAGTATTTATAACTCAACAATTAACTATAATAACTAAGATTAATTAAATAACTAAATAATTTAAAATAAATTTATTATTTTATATAAGTATTAATAAATATTAAAAATTAGATAATTTTATGAAAATTATATTTATAATTATTCAATATAAAACTATTAATAATTAAATTTATTATTATAATATTAATATTATTTCTATAATATCATCTGTAAATTCTATATTTTAAGTATAATAATATATTTAATAGTACTCAAATATATTTATATATAATAGTAATTTATAGAAATTAATTTAAAACTTTAAATAATCAATTATATATATTAAATATCTTTAGTTTTTTTAAAAAAAAATGTTTTAATTTTTTTATTTTTTAACTACTTTAGAATTTTATATATATTTATTTTTATTAAATTATAATATATTAATATAATCTATATTATAAGTATTTTTTCATAATAATAGTATTATTATATATATTAATTTCTATATAATTTAAATTAGTATTATTTTATTTAACCTTTGTCTATGATCTAGATAAGAAAATTATATTTAAATATTCTACAATATTTGTCAAGTTTATCTTACTTCAATTCTTATCAGTAGTATTGATTTAGTATTTTATTTAAAGACTATCATATTAAACATATTGATGAATTTTGTGCATATCACACGATCACGAGACTTAGCACGAGCATATGATCTAGCCAAAGACCCTGTCTTGGCATCGATATCAGGAGAACGTCTTATATCACCACCATCAGACCTAGTCAACGACATCTCCCTGGCATCAATATCTCCATTGTCTTAGAGACTACGTCTCTACGACGCCGCCACTATCCTGATGACGAGGTGACTACTTCGCCTTTGTATGAGACTGTGTGGAATGATGAGGTGATTATCATGTGAATGGCAGGATGATGCCTTTCCTTGATCAGATAGATTGATATCCAAGTATATCCATGAAGGAGAGAAGACTGATGAAAACTCTATAAAGCTAGCTATCTGACCCACTGTTTAGAGGGTCAGCGATTCGTTCTTAATATATCAGATTGATTGAAGACGCATACAACCCTCTACCTATCTATTAGTATTCTTGATCATTCAGGTTCCCTTTCAGTCTAAAGACATAAGCTCATCTGCTCCCTTAGCTAATTAAGCCTAACCATTCGGCTTCCCATCAACCAACCCACACAACGGCACTGTTGACTCCCCGTCTCGGCGCCGTCCCGTTATAGTGCAATAGTACCAGTACTTTATCATTATACAGTTTACTCAAAATGTGTATATTATTGATATACTTTGCTTGATCTCCTCTGAGTGAGCTTATTACTTCAACTATAGCTGAAATTGAAATTCTCTTTCTGACTGTGACTACTATTGTGATTACTTAGTGATAATATATTTCATTTACAAAGTGAATAAAGTATGAAAAAATAATATAATAAATGATTTTCTTACTATAAATTTTTTTTTTTTAATAATTATTGAAATATTATATTTTTACTGATTTATATTGAATATATTCTCATATTTTAAATAATTAAAAAGAAGTTACATTTATTTGATTTCTTTAATTTATAATTGTAACTGTAATAACTTATATAAATATTATTAATAAAATATATAAAAAAATATAGTTTTTTTATTATTATTTTATTTCTTTATTAAAACAATTTATTATAGTTTTTTAATAAATATAATTATATATAATTATTTTTTAATTATTTTTAAAAGTAAATTTATATTATAAAATAAAAAATTAATTATTTAAATTTTAAATTTTAATTGTTATTTATAGCATTATTAATTTTAAATTAATACTTTATAAAACTATTTTTAATAGTTAACTATATTAAAAAATTTTATTAAACTTATATATATTAAAATAAGTTTATAATATAAATTAAAATTAAATAATACAATTTTTATTAAGTATTTAGCGGCCGGGCCCGCCACGCTGCGCTTGCCCCGTTGCGGTCTGGCGCCCCATCCGGCATGGCCTCGCCCGTTCGGGTTTGGCGCCGTCCGTTCCGGGTTTAGACTCTCTCGCGCGGCGTCGGCTCTCTTCTCTCTTAAGGCTCAACCTTTCCGCGCAAAACCTAGAATTTCAAAGCAAACTCGAAGATCGAAACACAACATCTCATGGATTTTACTGACGTTGATCCCTCTGAGATAACATTTAAACGAAAGCTTTTTAGCTCAGAATTCTCAGAAGTATTCATTGTTCATATTCGCAACAAGATATGTGTAATGAAAGTGGTTTGTGCACCTTGGGCTCTTCAAAACATCAGTACATTCTAACATTTGGGACAGCATCATGACAGCGGGCCAGTCCAGACCGCACCTCCTGAGTGTGAAACAAACGTTCACATCTGCGAATCGACTGCCTACAGACGACTAATGAAGCACGGCCTTTGCGACCGCGGAATCGTGCCTCGGTTCTATGGGACAATGGACCGGATGGACTTATCACACTATCAACCTCACCTGAAGATGTTTCTTAACGACAAAGAATCCTCCTAGCGCCATCCTCTTGGAGTTCATTCCAAAAATGGAGATGATCTATCCGCACAATTTTACAAAGGACCGGGGAGAGGCTTTGATCCGTGGCATCCGAGAGATTCACAGAGCGTTGGTTCTGCATTGCGACACCAAACCGAGGAACATGATGATTGTCAGGAATGACCCGGAAAGAGTGGTCTGGTTAGATTTCGATAGAGCTTAGACCTATTATGTAGATAGCTTTACCGAGAGGCAACGAGGATATATTGAGGATGAAGAGCTAATGGTGTCTCAACTCGCAGATTCACTAGTGAGTGATCTACTATTTACAGCAACTTAGGTCATAGTCAAACACTAACCAGGACCATAACTTTCTTCTTACAGGAAGCTGATCATGCACAAGGCGAGATTGCTGAGACTTATCTCTACTACTGCACCTAGCCAATTTCTAATAAGAATGCACTTGCGGAGATGGGGCGATAACCTTTCGGGACTGCAGCGTGAGGAATAGCATTCAATGATCGATGGAAATATTGGTAGATCGTTGAAGGGGCCCTAATTTTTTAAAGTCCAACCCATGAACATAGGGTGAATCTGGTGGCGGATGGCGACTCTGTAAATTTAAAAAGAAACCTTGGGCCTCATTCCTATCATTATTTTCAACAATTTTGTGGAAGATCGTCTCGGTCGACATCTCTGAACATTGGCCTGGTGTGGCGGTTATCGTTTTCGTCTTTGACTTGGCATCCAAACTCCGGGATGTGCTACAGAATCTGGTGAGGAGGGGAACTATGTCAGGAAATTCGTTTAGGGACAGCATGCCGTCAGGATCCTGGGTATTTCCACTGCATCCGCTTGCATCACCCATACAAATGACCGGAATTCCCGCCCAAACACCCAAGTAGCCCGAAAAATGTTTTGCGATTACTGGTCTCAGAGGATCCATAGCCTCCGACAGCTAAGACCCCAAAGAAAGACAGCTTCCACGTCCAAGAAGTCGAGAATACGGTAATGGATCTCGGTGGGAAACTGAACGAGGATAGATCCATATTCAGTTGTGCATGTCAGAGCACGGGAAGATGGCATTAATAACAGGAAGACAGTCCGGCTCAAGTCGCCCTTTCTGAGGAATAGTTTTCTCTGGCTTGGGTAGGATTGTTCTGTTCTCCCCATCATGAGATTGGGGGGGTAATGGGTCTCGCAAAGGGTAAACAAGAGAGGATGCAGATCCATCGAACAGGTCCTCGCCAGGTCTGCATCTCCAACTTAGCGCGATAACGAGGTGCAATGAGGCATAGAGGCCTGCTACTCAATCTCCAGGGCTTTTTGAGAAAGAGGAGTTTAGTATTATGTCATGGCTCAATCTAGAGTCAAGATAAAAGATTTAATTCATCTATCTAACTACGCAGCTGCGATGAGAATACTAAACTGGGGATTAGAATGTGGAATGAGCGAGCAGCCGGATATATAGAGGTGGTTGAGGATCGGATCGGATCAACCTTAATCCATATTACAAGCAGCTGCGCCGTAACACTTTTTCTAATATATATAGACTAAATAATTATAGAGACTTTTAATATCAAGATTAAAAATTAAATTAAAAATTAACATTTAATATATAAATATTATAGAATTTTATTGAACTAATTTAAAAGATAATATTTTAGCGATTGTGACGGCGTAGAACGGGCTCCGTCCGGACTACTGGACAGCGTAGGGCCACTGTGCTGAAAAGGGTAATTGCAACGGCCTAGCAACGGCCTAGCAACGGCATAGCAACGCAACCCCACCATTAATTACCCCATAAAACAATTACCCCGTAAACACGGGAACCGCCTAGCAGCTGCGCTTAGGAAAAGGGGTATATAAGCAGAGCCTTCCCCGACCCCGTCTTTTAGGAACCATGTTATTAGTATTTTCGTCGAAGTAGCTTACCTAGTTGGCAATCGAACACCTGTTTCAGCTGCGCTTACATTGAAGCCGTGACAGCTATGACTTTTTTTAGCTTTTTTTTACATTTTTTGAGAGGTTTGATAAGATCTAATCAATCTAGTTAGTAAAATAATTATAAATTTTATTCATAAATTAGAGATTTATCAAACTTCTTAGCCTTTTCTTATAAAAGTTTTATTTTTCAAGAGTTTTATTCTAATTAGATAGTAGATAATTCTAAGTTTTTGATGTAGAATTAAGTCAATAGATTTCTTATATAAATTATATGAAGATTCTATTAGTTGAATCTTCTCAATTGTTGTAAATATTTTATATTAATTGAAATTATAATATTTATATAAGTCTGATATATGAGATGATAGAATAAATATACTAAGAATTATTCTTTTAAAATATCTTTATTTATATTATTTTTATAAACTATAAAAAAATATTTAAATATTAAAAAAAAGATAATAGAAAAAAGTTACAATAAATAATTATAAATTATTATTACTATTTTATTTCAAAGTATTATACTCTCTTTTATTTTAAAGTTAGACTCTGAATTAAATATGTTTATACTAATTAATTTAAAAAAAAGTTTACTAAATATAGTAATTTTATATTTATATTATAAAAATTATAACTGCAAATATTATAATAAAATTAAAATTAAAATCGATAATCTCTTTTAAATTTTAAAAAAAATTTAAGATAGATATAATAAAAGTAAAACAGCTGACGATAAGTAATTAATTATACAAAATAATACTGTTATCTTAAGCTTATCTGTTCTCTCTCTTATCTCTTTTATTTTCACTTTTTCTCTATTTTCTTTGTAGCTGCAAAGCAGGTCTCTTGAAAGATGAACAGCCCAGGCAGAATCCCTGCAAGCTAAGTTGACAGAAGAGACGATTGCTCCTATGAACATGCTATAACACCAAAGCCTAATGTTCATAAGAGCAAGACTCTTAATCTGAGCCATTCTGTCGATCAAGTGGCTATTTTTTTACGGGTCATAGAGAGATTGCAGACCAGCTCTCCCCTCTGCACCCCTGGATTGGTCCAAGATCTCTCTATCTGTAAAGCTTCTTCATCTTTGTAAAGATAATGCGGTTGAAGTTTACAGATGTTACAACATTTACAGCTGCCTTCCGAGTTCAGACTAGCTCCGCAATAATTTAGCACACTTCGGCTCGTTGTTGCGGTTGCTCAGCGATGGCGCCGTTGGATATTTGTTGCTTGCTGGGTTCTTGTATACATACTGTAGTTGAATGGATAAGAGGTCCGGTCAAATATCGATTGTGTATTATCCGATTGAGTTGGAGGCGTGCCATAATTACTCTACAGCTGCCCATTATGGCGAAAAATAGCTCATTGTCGGATGATGATGATGATGAACAACAAGTGTCTAGGCCATCTGCTGCCCGCCAGACGGAGGGATAAAGCCTTTCTATGACGAAGGGTTGCGTGTGGGGTTCGGTTTGTGCTCAAAAGTATGCTGATTCTATTTAGGGTTCTGAGAGTCTGATGGAATATTTATAGAAAATGAGGGGAGAGGTATGAATCCAAGAGACAAGGCAATGAAATATATACTAGTGCCTCATCTTAGGATGTTGAAGAGTAGATATTGGCTATTGCAACTTTCCTCACTGATGATTCCAATCAGGATACCTGAATTTCTCAAGGACCTGATTCATATAGCTATACCATCAATACCATTTATCCGTCATCAAACAATGAAGACCAAGCAAACCACTCTAGAACTATCAGTTCATAATATATGCCTTAAGGAAACAGGCGCCCTTTTTTTATTATTCATAAGCTATGTAAGTAAAGAAGAACTGTAAACTCATCTAGTAAAGAGATATTTCCAACAAACAAGGCCGTTTTCGTTTCGTTTCATCCACCCCAGAACCATTGTTTTATTTTTATTTAATTTTTCTCTTCAACGCCATCGCCTCCTCCCATCCATCCCTTCTATTTATCCCCTTACCCATCCTTCCGCCATCACTCCAAACCAGATCAACCACTTACACCAAAAAAAGGGCAAAAAAAGGTTTAAGCTGTAGGGGATATCAAGTTGCTTTTTGTTTTTGAAAACAGGGACGGAAACGACGTTTTGGGAGTTGAAGAATTTGTAAACCGTGTAAAAAGTGGAGTCGAGAGGAAAGGGGTTGTTGTGAAAATGGCTATATGTACAAGCGCCAAAGGTATGTTGGGATGGGATAAGGGGTGGAAGAAATAGGGAGGTAAATGTTGAATTTTTGTTTGTCAGACTTTGGGTTCTGTTGACTGGTAAAAGGGGGGAATCTTCCCCATATCCCTCCTCCCCTTTCTCCTTTCTCCAATTCCCCTTTCGTCGGCATCTGCAAAAGAAACTGTTGTTGACCTCAGTGCATGCATGCACACTGCGCAAGCTAAAATGAAGAACCAAACAAAGGCAAGCAGGACAACGACGAAAATCGTGTCACTGAACACACAATGGTGTACCTCTTATCCGTAGCTGCAATTCGTAATCCATTCGTACGTGTATTGTGGGTATTGACGGGGTATAGGATGCTCCCATCTTCTCCGTCGTTGAGCTGATCGATCAAAAATGAACAACAACGCAAAAAATTTCCTCTCTTTTCTCGTTCACTCCACGTTTCAGGGGCAAAAACAATCAAACACATTAAAACTGCCAAATGGACCGCAAACAACAAGTCAAGACACATATGAACGAATCAAGAACAACATGCGAAGGGTGCGAAGTTTTGATCATTGTATTGCCATTAGAAAGGGTGGGAAGTTATTTCAGCCGTAAATATCTTTTTCCTTTGATCAAACACACAGATAAGGCAGGTCGCTGATGGGGATTTAAGCTTCTTTTTTTTTTTTTGAATGTAAGCGCAAGAATCAAGCGCAGAACGCAAAGAATTCGCTAACAGTGGCAGAGTCGAGCAATCGAGCACATGAGGTGAGCTGGGGCCAGCAGTTAATGTCGGCAGCGCAAAGCAAAAGAACACATTTTCTCGAATTCGATTTCGATAGAGAACGGTTTCATCGAAAGAATGTGGATGGCGAGAGAGGTGCGTCACCGAAAATTCCGTGCAAAAATTGGAGAAAACTCCGGCGTGGGAGTCGACGGGTAGAGTGCCATTCAAGGACTGCTTCCTTTACTCACCTCATCCCCATGCCCACCCTCATTCGCATCCACATCTTGACCTTCTTTCTCCCCCTCCCCTTCCCCCTCCCCTTCCCCTTCCTCCGGCCCATCAAACCCGAAGCCCGCCATATCCATAGAATGCAACGACCCAGGCCCCCTACCAAGCCCCATATCCATATCCGACGATGCGTAATCATGTCCAGACGGCCTAAACGGCCCAAAAAACGGTCGATGATGCGGCTGCTCATCCGGCGATTGCAATCCACCATCGCCAACACCCATACCGCCTCCCCCACCACTACTGCCAACGCCAATGCCGACACCATCTCCAACGCCAACTCCGTTGATACCAAGAGGATCATCGTCGCCATCTCCAGTGCGAGAACCAGCGCGGCTACCGCCGCAATGCGAGTCGCCATCACCGTCACAGCGCTGGCCTTCGACCCACGGCATGACGCTGCGTTGCCAGAAGCGTTGATTGGCATGCTGGTCGCCGAAGAGGTCGTGGTCGTGTTCATGGAGTTGCAGTTGGAGGTGGCGGGGGAGTATGGAGGATTCATGTTCGATGTGTAAGAAGTCTTGCGGGGATTGGTAGCGGAATTGTGGACGGCCGAAGCTTGATGAGGCGGGGGAGTCGGCTTGGTGGAGGGGTAAGTGCATGTGTGTTTGCGTGTGCATGGCCATGGAGATGTCAAAGACGGAGACGTGGTCGTGGTCGTGGTCGTGATGGCTGTGGTTTTGGTGGTCATTATGGTGGTTGTGATGGTGGTGGTGGTCTAGGGCCATCGCATCGAGGGACGACGCCGGTCCGTTCAGGGAGGATGCCGATTTGCCAAATCTGGACACTGAACTATGTCTATGACCGTGTCCGTGGCTGTGGCTGCCATCCCCATCAAAGACTGCGTTATCAAGCGTCTCTTCTTCATCCACAACCGGTTTCCCGTTCCTGGTCCGTAAGCGGGGCCGCGTAACCTCCACCCCACATGCCTCAATAACCTTATCCTTATCCGTCCGCGAAAGCGACTCAAAATACCGTAGCGACAATGACAACTGACTCCCCTGCTGTTGAGCCATTTCATCATCATCATCATCATCATCACCACCAACTAATCGATACGCCTTCTTAGCATATTCCGAAAACCCAAAACCCGGCGCATACGGCGACTGGTACACCGACGCTGACTGGCGCCGTTGCACATCCAAGTAGGCATACTTACCTTCCAGTTTTGGACGCATCAGCAGGCCACTAACATCACCGTCGTCACCGGATAGTTCTTCCTTAGCAGGAGCCTGCGGGGTGCTTTTCTTTGGGGATTTTTTTTCAACCATCCCCGCTGCGCCTGTTACTTTCGTCGTGAGATTCATAAGTGCAAACCGTAGCATTCGAAGCAGGTGGTCTACTTCATCCGCCTTCATATTCAGTGGCTGCAGTGGTGGCGACGACGACGACGACGAATTATTATTGTGATTATCGCTGCTGCTGCTGCTGCTGCTGCTGCTGCTGTGGCTGTTATCGCTCTTAGGCCTAACCATTGACTCCGCCATAGCCGTCTTCAACTTCTCCATCCCGTTCGTCGGTAGGACTGAGCCCGCCTGGCCCAGCAGCGTCTGGACGACAAAGTCAGAATTGACAATTGTATATCCAGCGCGAAGATTGGCGTGGTCAGTAATAGACGCCACCAGACGTCGGGCCATCGCAAACTGCAACGTGATGTCACTGGCCCATACCGGGAGTTTATGATTGCTATTATTAGCATTATTGGTATTATTATTCTGTGGCTCTGGTGGCCGTTGCTTCTCAGACAGGACTTGCGGGCTGCCTAGCTGGGATGGGGACGGTTGTGATGTAATTTGTGACGATAGAATTGGTTGATGGGACGTGACTGTAGGCGATTTTACAAGTTGTGATTTGGCTGTTGTTTGCTGTTGTGCGGGTTGCGAAACGGAAGCGGTAATGGGTACAGAAACAGACGATGTCACTACGGGGTACGGTGGGGCGGCTACTGGATGCCTGGAGAATGGCCTGGAGAATGGCCTAGAGGGGTGATTGCGTGCGTATGACGGCCCATGAAGCTGAGGCACTGCCGTCACAACAGGAGCATTCAGCGACTTGACGATCTCCAAAAATTGCGAGCGAGGATTATGCAACGGTTTATCGGGGTTCTCGGTATACTGTGCACGACACTCCGTTGATGATTTGCCCAGGTAATACCACATCTGCTCCGGTTTCGAGAGATCGACGTGGGTTGTGGAAGAGTTGAATGGAAGGTTAAAAAGAATAAACTCGCCCCATTGGTAGATGAAGCGCGCATCGCCAAATGGGGTACCAGGGGATGGGAGGGAGGAAGCCAAATCCTTCTTCGAATCTGGTTTTCGCGCGAGGTGGGAAGGTAGCGGTTTAATTCCGGGGGGGAGCGGTGGGAATGATGATTTTCGCACAATCAACAAAAATCGATAGGGTAATTCGATTACATCCCTAAAATAATGTCAGCATCGGCAACGTCACCATAATTAAAATATTCAAAGAAGCCATAAACCCTACCCCCTCGGCAAAACCTTAACCAGCAACACCCTTTCACCCACCCGATTCTCAAGCACAACGCACCCATTTATCTCCCTATCCACCTGAAACTGCACGAGCTCCCCCTTCCTCAGCCCCTTCGCAACAACCGTAAGTTTCGGATCCAAATCCGGCGTCTCCCCCTGCATATACGCATACTTCTTCGGCCGGTGATACTTGCACTTCAAATCCACCCCGGGCACCGAATACTCAACTCCATCATCAGCTATGACAGCTACAGAGCCAAACTCCACCTGAACCCCGGCTAGCAGAGCGCAGGTGGGATGGTAGGCACGCGTGCATTTGCCGTGCATGCACTGGAAGCAGGCGCCGTTGATCTCGCGGCAGTAGAGGCATTTGAGACCCAGACGGGCCTTGGGGACCTTGTCGATATCACAGACTACTTCTGTGCCGGATTCGTCTTTGAGAATGGTTGTTTCCTCAATGTAGGTGGCGCAGCGGCGGTGGGCGTGAGACTTGCCATCTTCTGTTGCTAGGAGTTCTTCATAGTCCATGCTATGAGGACAGAGGACGCAACGGATCTTCTTGGGGCCATCCTCCCCATGCATCTTAGCCCGTTTACCCTTCGGACTTGACTCGTTACTGTCGCATTTTCTTTTCCTGCCTCGCGTTACCCCGGGCTTTTCTGGCACGCTGCGCGGCGGGGTAAGGAGGTCCGAGGCACCGTCCATAGTCATATCCTCGTCATCACTACCCATCTCAATGTCCTCATCATAATACTCCGGCGTGGATTCGCCACGAAGCTTGCGTTCGATTTCACGGATATCAATCCAAACGCTATCAGCCTCACAGTTACATTTCTTCGCGACGCGAGCATAGTCCAGCCAGCTTTCAGTCGCAAAGTTGACAGATTCAGCACAGTTGTATCCCAGATTAAATCCCGAGTGGTATCCGTATGGGTAGGTGATGACAAACTCGCCCTCGAAGTGGACCATTTTGTTCACATTGATGCCAAATTGTGACTTTAGAAGAGCAGGGGAGATCAAGTAGGTTTTATGACGGAGGAACTGGTCACAGTTCTTCGCATCCGTTGGCCAGATACCTTAATTTCTATATTAGCAAAAAAATACAACTATATCTTGAGGGATGAAGAGCCAGTCCTCGAAACATGGTGGCAATTTGGGGAGGAAT